TTGTCACAAGAAAGGATCAGCTTGAGCATTTCTGAAAGCATCTTACCTTGTTCCTTCTCTAGCTCCTCACCACTCCCATCTGTATGTTCTTGGGGTTCTGCTTTGCTTAGGAGAGCAAATGAAATGGTGGAACATTGAAGAACACATACAGAGAAGGGCCTCTGGTGAGGGGCTGAGTCAGCAGCAGGGTAGAGTCAGCTTGTGCTGGCTCATGAGGCCAATATGGCCTCTCATCCCAACTCTATGTCTGGTGACCTAGAGTAACTGCAGTGTGGGTATTTATAGATCCGGGTTCTTTTATTTTCCTCTCCCAGGAAGTGTGAGACAGTTGTTAAGCACTTGCTAGGACCCCACTGCAAAGTCTCAGACAGGAAAGTCTACTCACAGAAATGAAGACAGACCTACCTAGACTCCTGATGTAAGGAGGACAAAGCAGACTATGAACATGAGTTAGAAAAATGAACCTCTTACTTAGAAAATTGGTGCCTCTGCAGAGCCTTTGACTGAACAGTACACCCATTCTGTGTCCAAACTTGATGACTCTGAGCCACAGTCAAAGAAAGACAACTGAGTTCTGGGTACCAGGGGCAGGTACCCATATCTGTGTCACAATTATTCCAGTCTTGTGCCTAGGTGAGGCTGCTCACAGGCAGAACTTGGAGGCTTGTTTGTTTCCACTCCGAAGCTGCTCAGTCCTGGAAGCCTTCCCTCCTGGAAAAACATTTCTAGATCTTCTGGAGTTGAGCATGACCCAGCTGGGAGTTGAACACGATGGAGAGACAGTTTGGTTCAGATGGTGTGAACACTGCTGTGCAGCCTTAGCCTGGGGGAGAGGGACCCATTGAAGTATTTCAAAAAGAAACTGTACCTCATGCTCCACAGCTGCTACAAAGTGCCTGATCAGGCTCCTGAAGAGACATTTGGCCTTCAGGCAGGTGATGCCAGGCTAACCTTTTCTGATGGACATCATAATAGCTCAAGCTTGGTACTTGGCCTTTACAGGATATGGAAGAGATCAGGCATAAAACCCTGGAGATAGTCCTAGCTCCGGAGGATCAAGGGATTTCAGTGAAGGAAACAAAAGAAAGCATCTCAGAAATGTGGGGGTTTCAGCTCCTGCCAGGAAGCCGAGAAGAAGTGCGAGGAGGCTGTAGAGTTCTCTAATTTGGCCAAGTTATGAGGGACAGAAACAGGCTGCTGTCGGATGCCCTCCACACACTGGCGATGGAAGCCAGGGACTCATGCCAAGCAAACCCTGTACCACCTGAGCCACACCTCAGCATGTGTGATGCAATTCTCTCTCTTCCGTCATGTGGCAGATATGAGAAAGACACGGATAAGAAAAGCAACAATAAGCCGGGCATTGGTGGTGCATGCCTTTAATCCCAGCACTTGGGAGGCAGAGGCAGGCGGATCTCTGTGAGTTCGAGGCCAGCCTGGTCTACAGAGTGAGTTCCAGGACAGCCTCCAAAACAATACAGCACTGTCTCGAAAAAACCAAAAAGAAAAAAAAAAGCAACAACAAAACACTTGGCTGCAGAGACTAGCTGTGGGAAAGAACGGACAGCTTTGCTTCAGGCAAGCAGGAACCCTGGAACCAGAGGCCCTTGAGACAGGGTCCCTCTGGACTCAGAGAACAGCTGAATGGCCTTCATGAGCCATCGAGAACTCGGCAGCCCCTGTCTCAGTGGTCCTTCAACTTCTCTTACCTGAGGGAGGCAGCGCAAGGTTTGCTTCTTCAGAGGAAGAGGCATGCAGGATAGAGCCTGGCTTCATCTTAAGGAAGAGCAACTCATGTTCCCTTGGACAAGGTCCAACTGCTGCATGCGTTCCCCCATGGCAGTTTTCCAGGGCCAAGTGGCATGCGAGTATAACAAAGACTGCCTTTCAGGCAGACCTTGCTGTGTGGAAGCTCTCCTGCACAGCCCTGTGGCTCAAACTTCTCCTGAGATCTGCTTTCTAGGATTCCCTCACAGGCCCATGGGCCTGCGTTGGAAACAAAGGGAATCATTTCAGAAAGAGCAGGACCAGTCACCAGAGCACTTTCATCCCAAAGAGGCAGTGACGGGAGAGCTGTCCCTCTAGAAACTGAAATCTAGAGAGCATGAGTATGTTTCGTTTCCGGCACCCTGGAAAAACACCCAACAGACCACAATAGAGGATGCTGGGAAATAGCCACACCTAGCAATCTGGAGGGGAAAAAAAAAAAGACAGCACAACAGTCTATGCATGAATGTGAGTTTACATTACCGTAAGTGTAACTTGTCTGGAAGCATTCTTTTGCTCATTAAAGAAAAAAAGGTCCTATTGATTTATTGTCGGTGTGCATGCTGCTGCACCTGGGGTGGTGAGTGTGCCAGGGTGGAGGCCACAGGACAACTTTGTGAAGTTGGCTCTCTCCTTCTTCCTCTATGTGCTTCTAGGGTCACACCCAGCCATCTTGCCAGCCCATCATTGCTCACTTTTATCATGATTTGGGATCTGTAGTCAATCGACCTGAACCTGATCAACAGCTATAGTGCTGACATAAGTGCTGATCTTCTGTGTTTTTAAACAAATTATCTTATGTGTATGTGTTTGCTTGCATGTCCGTGTATTATGTGAATGCCTAGTACCCAACGAGGCTAGCAGGCATCATCAGGTCCTGTGAGACCAGAGTTATAGACAATCGTGAGTAACCATATGGGTGCTGGGAATAGAACCCTGTTTGTCAGGAAGAGCAGCCAGTGTTCTTACACGCAAAGCCATCTCTCCAGGCCCAGAGTTGGTATTTTTTGTTCTTACTAATACATAAGACACAAATAAGATAACTGATTTATATGTCAAAATGCCAGTTGGATAATCTGGATAATACTTTTTAAACAACTGAAGTGGCTATGAGAGTAACTTTAAACCATGTTATCATTTTCTCCATTATTTTCCCAAGTCTAGATAAAGAACAAAACAATGAGGTGGTAAAATGAGTAAGAAGTGATGGGATCTGAATGCCACCTCTTCTGTTAGTGTCATAGGATGGCGCTGTAAGTGAGAACACAGCATTGACTGTAAGCCGGTGTGTGCAGCCACCCTGGTTCCTACATCAATATGCTTTCAAATAAAGAAAATGAAAAAAATACAACATACCATGAGTTCTCACGGTAAAATCTATGAAAGCCTCCTCCTTGTGTTCATCTTCTTCAGGGTCGGGCATAGAGTCCAGGGCCTTCCTTGTACACACCAGGCTCCAGTCTACGGCTGAGCTACAACCCAGCCCTATTAAGGTGACGGGAAGGTGAACATCTGATCACAAGACAGACTGGAGGGATCAATCTGAACTTATGTACTAAAAGCAGCCCACTAAAGGGGAGTGTCTGGAAACAGAACATCAGCATGATAATCTGAAAGAGACAGAAACGGGACCTAAATTCATGCCCACAGGCTGATAATGCAGGTCAAACCAAGTTTATTCCAAAACTCTCTCTCCCCCTCCTGTCTCTCGTCTGTGTGTCTGTGTGTGTGTGATACATGTTGTGTCAATGTACTCATCCATGTGTCCCTGAGGCTGACAATGGGCTACCATTCTCAATCCTCCACCTTAACTCTTTGAAACAGTGTCTTGTTTAATGATTCAGCTGGATTTAGGTTTCACCTGTTTCCGTCCTGTGCCCAGCGCAGCCATATCAGCGTGCACAGCCATACTTGTCTCTGCTAAGGGAGTTGGCAATCTGAAGCTAGGTTCTCATGCTAGAGCAGCGAGTGCTGATCAAATGAGCCATTGCCGCGGTCCACCACAAGGGTTTTTAGTTCCAGCATCCAGGACTGGAGAAATGGCTCAGTGGCTAGAAGTATATACTCTTCTTCCAGGAGACCCAACTTTAATTCCAATAACCCATGTCAGGCTGCTTACACTGTAGCCCAAGGAATCAAACACCTTTGGCCTCTGTGGGAACCTGCACTCACAGCACCGCCCCCAATTAAAACCACAAAAAAAAGTTCTTAAAAATAGTTCCAACATTCTTTCAAAGCGGCCTATTACATATTAGTTTGTTATACTAATATACTAATAACTCAGCTAAAAACAACCATGCAGTATTACCAAAGAAAATTGTACAAAACTGATTATTCCAGTGTACAATCATTTTCTTCACCATTTTGTATGTAGAAAGGCTTCCACATCAAAGAAAAAAGAAAACACATTGCCTCCTCTCCTGGGACCCTAAGTGTTACAACTGTGCTCTCAAGAGGCAAATGCCTCCCGGAGCCCTTAGGGATGCAAGCAAGTTGCTTCTCAAGGGTGTCCAGCTCTCAGCCCAGTGCTGTGAACTTCCCCCGGTTTCTAATTTCCCAAAGAAATGCATTTTGAAAAGAAGCACACAGGCGTGCAGCTGGAGGAACTTTCCAGGTGCTACGGTCTGGGTCAATAGCAGGCATGCTACCAAGTAGACACAAGAAACCTAAACACAACTGAGAACACCATTACATGTTTCATTGGCAGTGATTTGCTTCTTGAGCCACATCAACTTCTGTTTTAACCCACTTGACATATGTACTCAGAAATCCTGTGATTCTTGCCTCTATAAATGTAATTTGGATATCACTAAAAAACTCCTAGACTAGGAGGAGTTACAAAGGGAAGGCAGGCTCCCAGGAACTCTGAATGACGAGGCAATTGGAAGGAGAGGCCTGTGAATAATAGGCACGAAGCTTTTCTAGGATGTTAACCTTACACAAGTGAAAGCAATATTTGTGCGTGCCTTACTCTGACAAATGTCTCCCCCTCCTTGCTGGCACAACTGAAAAGCACAAGGACCGTGAGCAAAGTCACCATTTTCATGTCAACTCTATCTTGTTGGTGAGTTTCTCTTTCCCCCCAGACTGGGATGTGCCTTTCGGCCCTGTCTTCAGAATTTGGACAGGGATCTGACAATGAGGCCAGTGATGTCTGTGCCTGGGCACACAGATGCACACTTGTCTCGATTTTGTTTCTGTTGCTGTGACAAAATATCTGGACACAAGACAACTTTGGCGAGACAGGCTTTATTTGGCTTTCAATTCCAGGTCAGGGTACATTGCTGAGTGGAAGCCAAGGCAGGTGTCACATCCATGACAATATACATACCTTTGCTCATTTTTTTTAAATGGCTGCCAACTTCATATTTGGCCCTGCAGACGAAGTAACACAAGCTCACTCCCTAGGATTGAGGAGCAAACAGTACAGCCTAGGGACAGGAGAGCGGGGTGTCACATGGTCATCTTCACCCCAGCAGGTTGGGGGTTTTTCTGATGGCCCTACTGGGCATTTCGCATGGTATGTCCCTTTGCCTCATGGTGTGACAACCTAGTTTAAATAAATCCACTCACACCAAGCAAACATGTGCCTTAAACTATGGCTTCTTGAATTATATACCAAAGTATGAGAACAGATTAGAGGAAGAAGCTAAATGCATCGACTTTATTTTAGATGATCTATTCTGTCACATCAAGAGGAAGAAAGGGGAATCTATTTTCAAGATCAGCTGAAAACATAAAGGCCCCAATATTACCTTACAGTTGTTGACAGGCTTAGTTTGGGCATCTTTCGATGGGAAACCCCACTTTTTCTTCATAAGTGATTGTTGCTAACTAACTTCAGGCATAATGAAAATAGTAAGAGTTCAAAGAAACACTAAACCTGCTCGTGGGGTTATATGAGTAAGCACACACACTTTGAGGAAGCATCAGAATTAAAGCATGGTTTTCTACCATCCATCAACGCTAACTCAGTCCTGATGTGAGGCTGAAGTTAACAGTGAGTTCACTTCCGAGGCAGACTTCTTCACACAGGTCTGTGGAAGAGCATCCTCCTCCTGACTTCTAGCAATGACAACAGTGGCCTGGACCTTCTCAGTACCCACCAATCTTCCGGATCAGTTAAGAGCCAGGTCTGTACACACAGCAGCTCAAGACTCACTGGCAGTTCATTACCAATTACCAGGGCAAACATTTGCCCTTCAAAGCTGACAAACAGGATAACTCTCAAGCATTCATCAGTTCTAAAAAGATTTCCATCCTGCCAAATGCGACCCTTCTATGTGAGCCTCGCTTATCTATGGTTGAGGGTGCCACCGGCAGTGATTCCCAAAGGGCAATCTGCCCCCAGTTCAGTGCCAGTGATACAGTTCCAGACAACTCATTCAAAGTCGCCTTCGCAAATGGAGGGGTGGGGCTTCGGATACTCTAGCAGTGACTTCTGAACTGGCACTTCCGGCAATACCTCCACGCCAACGCTGTGTTTTCATCTGAAAAACTGCTGAAGAGCCAAGACTGATGTCAAGCAAGTTCCCTGAAGCGGGGATAATGGCTGTGAGCATAAGTGCCTGCCAACAGAGGCCACTAACCCTGAGATGTCCATTCACTGTGGGACTCTAAACCTAATCCCCAAAAGGTGATGAAATGGACACAGGAACATTCCAAAGTACCCAGACCTTTGATCTTTCTCTAGAAACTGTATACTAATGAAGATAAAGTCAAATTAGTAACAAAAAGGAGGCGTTACTCAAATATGAAGCCATTATCAGCATAAGAAAAGTCTCAGAGGGAACAGAAAGTATGCTTCCTTGCTAGATTACAAAGTAAACTCTCCATGTTTAGTCATTTTGGGTCAGATTATGGAGACAGCACAAATCAAACAGACTAAAACCATAATGTTTATTAATAGTAAATCCTCAGTATAGAATATCTATGCATCATCCTAATTACTTCCACTTTATGAACTGTTTTTCTATTTTTAAAAAAAAGCTCAAAGAAGTATTCTTTTTGAAGAACAAAGTTTCAGGAAAAGTGATTATTACAAATCCTTTGAGGATCCCAAAGACTTTAAAATCCATTTAAGTCTGAATTCAGAGTATCAGGTTCTGAATTCTTACATTTTTAGAACAACTTTTCATTACACATTCAGGTGGATCTCTTTCCTTAGGAGGTAAAGGAAGTGACTATGATGAGCTATGCTGAAATTCTCAAAGAATCAATACAAACTGTGTGTGTGTGTGTGTGTGTGTGTGTGTGCTATCCACAGGAAAGGGCTGGAATAAAATGATAACTATTATATTAGAGTGGTTATTTCTCTTTGTGTTTTACAAATGGCCTATTCTATGACTACATAATTTCATAACAAAAACTTATTAATGAAGAAAATTCAAGGTTATCAGACAGTCAACTTTATAAAGTAATTTTCAAACAAGTGAACAGAGAACAGAGGCATTCAACTAAGAGCAGGACGATGTTAGGAGGCTCCTTGGTTCTGGGGAGACCAAATCCATCAGTAGCATTTCCTGGTGTCACTGTCCTTGGAGACAGGAAGCAAGCAGAGCCCCACCTTCCTTCCCTGAGGCACCATGGACTCAAACTGAGGCATATACAGCAAGGACTGAATTTCCATATATTTATTGGGCTGTGTGCCTGGGGAAATCTCAGAGCACTTTTGAAATGAGCACTCATTTCAGTTTCAGGGGAGGAGAGTGAGACTCTTTCACGGACACCACAATGACCGATGACTGATGACTTCACTGGCAATAGAGGCCAACTCACCAGTATCCTGGTACCCATGGACTTAGGGAAAGAATAGGTAACATAATATCGACATGTATTTCAGGGGATCAAACTAGGAGCCTCATGAATGCTAGGCCAGCACACAATCACTAAGCTATGCCCTCAGCCCAATTCTTTTACAAATTATATTTCATAAATTAACTATATTCACTTAACCTGCATCCATGAGGTTGTAGACATCTCATTCACCACTAGTAGCACATAGTGGGGACTCGAAATACTATTTTAGGAGGCTGTTTGGGGCAGTAAGTGCAGAATCTGTGTGTGTCTCATAAGATGAAAACTTAAAACTCACTCCTGGAATTTCACAGTAGACATTCCACATGAGAAAATTGATCCCAGAAATGGTTGTGAGTATTCACTGTATGTGTGTATGAAAATAGAAACCGCAGTAAGAATTTCAGAGTCTATTCCCCGAGAAACACAATTTTGTGTGTCTGTGATGCTAATTAGCATTCAGGAAATTCGAACAGGAGGCCCATTTGGAGGCCAGCGTGGACTACACAGGAAACAAAAAATAAAGTAACATAAAATAAAGGCAAGAAAGAAATCACTATCTTTGTCCACAGGCTGTGTCCAGGCTATGTGGCTTCCATTCCCATTGGAGGTGTCTGGAGGCTGCGCATCTGTGAATCCCACGGGTCCTCAGGCAGGGTCACAGCTGCTGGCTGGTGAAGAAGGATTTAGTCTCCCTGCAGACAGGATTTACACAGAGCGGGCAGCTCAGAGTCAACTGCGTAGAGCACAGCTTGTTTGACTGGATGTGTGAGTATACCAGATCAGCCAAGGCCTGCAAGACACAGTACAGGGCCAGCTGAGACGAGAGGTCTGCTGCCCCTGTGCAGGCCACACCCTCCACTCATCCCAGGGAAGACCGCTCTGGTTGAGGTTTCTGTTCAACTGAGTTGACCAGAATTGTAAAACAGAGTCCTTCCGGGAGTCGTCAGCTCAGGCAGAGTTAAAATGGAGACTTTAGGAAACGGGTCCTCTTACCCCACCCTTTTACTGAAAGGCAGATTTAAAACAAGGCAGCTGTAGGTGGGCAACATTAGGAGACTGGGCTACCTAAAGGAAAAAGGAGGAGCAGAGAAGGAATTCACTCCTAGTTTTGTAATTAATTGGAACTCCAAATGTACTAATATGTGAGAAAACCAATATTCTGCAAGAGCTTCTCAGAGGGACCGCTCTGCGCTATGTTCTACTAAAACGGTTGTAACACGGTGGTACCTTAGAGAACAATGGATTTCCATTAAGAGACTCCGCTCTTCTGATGTTTTCAGCTCCACACTGAATCAAATGAGAATGGGAAGAAAAAGACACATTTTATTCTCCTTTCATTTTCTTCCTTTTTTTTTAAAAAGTCACGGAGTGCTACAAAAGATAAACACACAGAAATACACTCACACAACTCCACCTGACCTTGAATGGTCCAGACTGCTCGTGGATGTCGGTCATGAGGGAGATAGGCTGACCAGATGACCAGAAATGGCTCCTGTCTCTGTCACCTCCACCCTGTCACCTTTGCACAGGCGCAGTTACGCTGCACGGATTCTCAAGAGTGACTCAGGTCCACACACCACTCTTGCCCTTAGTCTACTTCTCTAAGGCAAACCTTACAGAATCTATCTAGGTAAGTGTTGCTGTAATCAAGTAAAATTTCCTACTTGCTTTGGTCCCAAGTAAGTGCCAAAGTGAAGGAAGGAAATTAATTTACGAGTTCTACTTCATGTTGAGTCTAAACTGAATAATAGAATTGGGTTCTAAAATAAATTCTTATAGAGAATAATCTAAGAAAAAAAATCTGAGTATTGTTTAGTACCATTCTTTCCCCAGCTTAAAAAAACAAAACAAACAATAACAACAACAACAACAAAAAACCCAATAACAGATACAGCTAATTATTCTTAGATAATGAAGAACTATGTATGATTTACTCCATAGCTAGGCTCTCCTCTTTCCCACCTATGCTGAGATATAGTCAGCTGCTTCATTTTCTGCATTGGCATTTAAAGGAGGAGCCCACAGGAGAAGCACACTGGTATTCAGCGAACACCTAGACCTCAACACGGAGGAGGCTCCAAAATGAATCACAAATCATCCATGGTAGCCAAATAAGCAGTGTTAGTCATCAGTGGGGGGGGGGGGGGGAGCTAGGAAGATGCAGCAGCAATGAATCTGCCCCCAGAACATTATTGGAAAAGTGGAAACATTTATAGCATAGAGCATATGATAGTAAAAATTTTTTAGAAACTCGAATGACTATTAATAAAGGATTTGCTTTAAATGGCTATAGGCATTTAATTATATTTACTCACTTATATCCAAAATATGTTTTAAGAAAAGAAAGTGGGGATAAAAATATGGATAAAATACATCATTAAATGCGGAGAAGCCTATTTTAGGGTCAGAGGATGAGTGAGCCCCACTAACACAGCACTTTCACGGCACCTCTGAGAACTTTATTATTTTTATCAGCAAAAGGCAAAAACATAATTTCTATTGTGGAAAAATTAAACTTTTAAAGTTAGTTGTTTTATGCATACTATATTTTCATATCATAATAATGATAACTACATGGTTTCCTTTATTCCCTATAGGAATTAGTTTGTCAATCACTAATAACCCTCTTGATTACTGTTAACAGTCTCTGCTTATAACAAAATGAATAGAAAAAAAAAAACATGTTCAAACACCCTCTACTAATTAAGGCCTTTTTTTACTGGTCTTTCTAGAGTGCTTAAAAGTAGTAAAGTCATGGTGGGGATACAGGGGCATTAACAAATGAAACCCATGGGCAACAATGAAGCCTCATCTTTGCAAATTACAACTAGCTCATAAACGTCTAGTGATAAGGAAATACAGGCTCTCCTTCATTCATCAGTGTTTGACTGATGACTGGCATGGACACAAATAACAGGAGTTGGCAGCTGGTTCCAGTTCTGCCCTCTCTACCCTCCACCCTGCCTCTCACTGACACCACTCCCAGAAAGGGTATAGTGTTCTCTGGAGCCAGATTTGCATCAGTCACACATGGGAAGGCGAGTTCTCATCCCAGATTAGAGGGAGAAAGGGGCTCCTGAGTTCCCACTGCTTCCAACTGCCCACCAAAACACAGCAATAAGCCATGAAGGTTTCAGGCTAGCCCTCAGAAGCTACAAGGTAGGTAAGCAACAGTTTTTCCCCACTCTGAGTGGCACACCACATCCATCTTATGCCAAGAGTGGTATTTGTTATTTCAATAGTCAGATTGATCACAACTTGTTAGCAAACAGCTAATTAAGTGAGTGCATAGAAGAGGTCAGCGGAATCACAACACACACTGCTTCTGTGTTTGTTCTGTGTAACTCTCTGAAATGTCAAAGACTCATATGCCAGCAAACCCAACCAGAAACAATATAATAGCCCGAGAACTACTGCTGTAGCAAGTACAGAGCATGAATTATAGACTAATAAACAATTCCCCTCATATTTGGTGAGATGTACAATTCCTTTTCACTAAAGATTTCACCTTCACACAATACAGTAACTTACACTAAACAAAGTTATTAGTCTCCATAATACTGGGCAACGTGGTTTAATAAAGGTATAAACTTCCTCTTCTACTGTTGATGTAGAATTATGAAGTATTATTCAAAATGATAAGGACCCAGTACATACAAACACACCAAAAGCTTGCTCTCTCCCTCTCTCTCTCTCTCTCTCTCTCTGTCTGTCTGTCTGTCTGTCTGTCTGTCTGTCTCTCTCTCTCTCTCTCTCTCTCTCTCTCCCTCCCTCCCTGTCTATCTATCTGTCTGTATATATAAAAATTTCTTTCCTCATTTGTTTTTTTGAGACAGGGTCTTTTTATGTAGCCCTTGCTGGCCTGGAACTTACTAAGTAGAAGACTGGCCTTGAACTCACAAAGATCTGCTTGCCTCTGTCTTCCAGTGCTAGGATTAAAGGAGTGTTCCACTGCACTTGGTCCCATAAACAATCATTTTTTTCAATAATACAGTTTGATAGTTGTAGAAAAAAATTCCCGTTAAAACCAATCATGATGGGACTAAGAAACCATATGGATATACTTACCTTCTTGGCTAACACTTGGGAGTATTCAATATCCAGTTCATACAGGGTCTCGATGTGATCACTGGTAAATGCTATTGGAACCAAGAGAATATTCTTCCTCCCTCTCTCACAAAGCCCTTTGATGGCCTCATCTGTTTGAGGACCCAGCCAGGGTACTGGGCCAACCTATGAGAAAGAGGACCAATGAAGAGATGGAACATTTCTCCTAACAGGTCATTAACATATTATTGCCACGCCCCCACCCCCAACACACAAGGAGCACACACATTTGCCCATCCAGGTGAGAGCCCCTCTTACACCTCCTTGAATGGGTTTGAGTATTTTCACATTGAAGCTTGAATCCTTCTAGAGGCTGGCCCAATGATACAAATAAATAATTTCTTCCATTAAAGCTAAAGTCAGATATTAACTGACGAAACTCCACCAGTCATTCAATTTCCCCTTCTATCTTCTTGCTTTTTGCAGAGTTCTTTTGGCCCACAGTGAGCATTTGACTTACAGAATAGCTTGCTGGCATGGACAAACTCAAATTACCCTTTGTAAGCAAGTGATAAAGCAGATTTTCAAGAGACGATGGCCTAAAAATATATGAGAGGTACCTACCTTGGACTGCCAAACCAGTCGGTAGGGGTTGGGATAACCTAGTTCTTCCATGACTTTGTGGACAGTGGCACCTACTTCCTGGGGATAGGGATCTCCTCTGTTGACAACCTGCAGGAGAGACAAAGTGATAGGCAGTCACCAACACTGAAGGGAGCCAAGATCACTGACTATGTGGTAAGAAGAGGATCATGAGCCACACCCCTCCCTTGCTGTCCCCTGAACTAATGGCAATTGTATCTGAGCACTGTTAGGAAAGTTCCTTGATTCCAATCATTCATTGGCCAAAGAACACTGTATTCAGTCAGCTACAAGATCCCCAAGAAGGTCCTGTTTGTGGAAGATGGACAAGGTCTACCCATGAAGATGGTTCTCTTTTCCTCCAGGACGGACAGAGTGCAGAATGGCTGAGCTGATGGTAAACATTAGGGGAAAGGTAGAAGGAAGCAGTTCCTGGTTCAAATTCCACTCTTCCCTATATGATCCGTGCCTTCAACTCAATCTCTCTCCAACCTCCTCCAGAAACTGACAGCAGACAAATGATTTGTGAACAGTGAGGCTCGTGCTCCCAACAGGAAAGCCTATTAAAAACCTTTGAAGATATTCAGCATATATTTTATTTTAACTGCTTTTATCTTCAGTGGCACACTGACTCCCTAACTCCATCACCTTGCTTTATGGTGTTAATTACCTCCTGACCCACCATGCTATTTCCCTTCACATTATGTTAATTTTTTCCTGTTAATGCACAGGGACAAAGGTGTTGTCTGTTTACTTCTTCCCCACATCTGATGTGTCTAAAAGGTGCCCAATAAATATTGTATCGATGAGATGAAATACTAAGAAAATATATTATGACATTACTAGTGGCCAAATAATCATGAGAAACATAAATGTAGATGTGATGAAAGAAATACAAAGTTGCCTTTGGCACCGTATAACAATAACTGCTACAGGCAGGATGCACTCTTAGGCAGCCCCTGTGAGGTTCCAGTGTAAAGATTCACCTGCCCTCTCTGGAGCTTCACTCTGGTGCCTCGGGTCTCATCACACCTAGAATGGATCCTCGAAAGGATGTGCATGACACTAGAAAGGAGATGTGATCCCATCAAAATGAAACAGACAGGTTCCAAAAGGAGACATTTGTCTCTAAAGCCATCTATTACTAATGTAGTGGCTGCATCTTGCAGGTGAGCAGCACAGAGCTTGACTCTGATGACCATTAAGGAGCAACATGGCACCCTCCACCTGAGGCTGGCTGGTTCCATTAATCATGTGGTTCCGACTGATCCCATGTAAGGAAATGTAATCTTGGGAAACAGTGCTTTTGGGACAGGATTCCAGTTCTAAGCAGATGAAACTGGGTACCGAGGTCAAGATCTTTCAAATACCATATAGCACTCTAGCACGGCATTGTCACCTATCCTGAAATATAACAACCATAGCACAGGAGGTGACATTTCAATGAACAACCCAGTATATGATTAACTAAGGATTACAAGCTGTATGCTATATGTTCTCTAGTCACATAATGGTCCCTAGTTTTAGCAAATTTGAAACCATATTGACTTCCTAGAATGCACAGGCCTCTGCGAAGTCTTGAAGACAGAATCAGGCTTAGTGTGAGTGGAATTGGCTGCAGAGTTCAGTATGCGGAAACTGCACGGTACGCTCCTTCCAAACAGCAGGCAAAAGCATTCTTCTTTTAGCTGGCACACTTGTTGGAAATTCTTATATCTGGATGAATCTTCCAGTTACCATTTTAAAGAAAGCCATTAACAAGAGGTCTATTTGTAATGCTGGGCACTGAATTAATTGGGGGAGGTTTCAGAAAGCAAGTCTACAAGCAAGTGAGGACTGGGATTTTAGAAGTCATTCTTGCGCTGTGCTAGGGACAGCACAGAGCCAGGACCTGTTTTATACATTTCGAAAGTAAAAGAACCCAATCCTTTACCAGTAGGCCACCTAACAAAACATTCTTACTTACGGACATTGGCAGGGAGTGGGCAGAAAACAGAATGACCACCTCGCTTCTCTTCTCCCGCGGAAAATGGTCCAGTTCTTTCAGAATGTGGTCTGCAAAGCACTGTGGGAACCCCAAGAATGGGGGAGAAAGAAGGTATTGAGAAGAGAGCGAAGAAGGGGAGAAAGGACCTCAGAAATGAGAGCTGTACCAAAAAAATCTCAGAGTAATCTTCCAAATCTGGAACTCCGTCTCTGTTTTTAAAAAATGCAAACGGCACGGTCTCTCTGATGTGGTTCAGCTTCAGAATGGACAGCAATGGTTTCAGGGCCTAGGGAATTTGATGGGAAACTTCTAAAGCTCACTAATGGCTCTCTGCAAATGAACGCCGAGGAGGATCTGCTTCCCCTCGGGAAGGGCAGGGCACACTTCCAGATGGAAAGGAAACACAGATGGGAAGGAGAAGTTGTTTTAAGACCTCACATTTGCTCTGTTAGCAGGAAAACAGCTTACGGGGTCTTTCTAAATCTTCCCCACTTTGGCTCTCAGCATATAGCACATTAAAATACATTAGCCAGAAATAGGAGAGAAATAAGAAAATACCCATCTATTTTTATGACATCTCTCTTACAAGGCCAGGATCTGCACCAAAGCAATCCTCCTCACAAGCCTCATGATGACAGATGACAGACTGTACAACCCCCATTAAACACGCAGAGGGGGAAAGATGTGGCAATGTGAGCATTGGCTAGCCATATGTGTGAATGTGGACTAGAATCCGGGTCCTTATGCCTCCAGACCTCTGCCCACCAGACCTGCTCCCTCTCGCTTCTAGTTGGCACTTGCTGATTCTCATGGCTAGGTGCTGAAACACCAGATCTGAAGAGATTTTCTTTCATCTTACACTTGAATCATTCCTGGCCATTTGGCTTAGAAGGAAAATTGGTCGACTGATAACCCTGGAATGTGCCTGGAAATTAATTAGACAGGAGTTGATCATCAGTGTTAAAATAAACTGCTGTGGAATTTTGTATTGTAGTTATCTTAAGAGAACAGCCCTGGTTTCAAAGTGTGTGCTCATTATCTGCTGTCAGGCAGTTCAGAAAAAATACGCAGACATATACATATATACACATACAGAGAATGGATAAATGATAGGGCAAGTGAAACGCATGTTAACACATGAATACAGGTAAAGAATGATGGCAGTTCACTCCACCATTTTTAAGACTCTATTTATTTTCTGTGTGTGGGTGTTTCATCTGCATGTACGTCTGCATACTTGGTGTACGCAGAAGCCAGAGGAGGCCGTCAAAGCCCCTGGGACTGGAGTTAGTAATGGCTGTGAGCTGCCATGTGGGTGCTGGAACTCAAACTGTGGGTCCTCTGCAAAAGCAGCTGGTGCTCTCAACCATGGAGCCAGCCCTTTTTGATTTTTAATTACGTATACTTGTGTATGGGGGGTGGCAGTGTACACGTGAGCCAAGGTGCCCGCGGGATCCAGAAGAGAGTGTCAGGGCCCCTGGAGCTGGAGCTGCAGCAGTTGGGAGCGCCCTGAGAGTAGTGGGAGAGAGAGAGAGAGAGGGAACTGAACTGGAAGTGATATGTGCTCTTACCAATGAGCCTTCTCTCCAGTCACGTTACCCTTTTAACTATTAGTCTTGTAACAATTTTGCATGTCCAAACAAAATTTAAAGAACAACTTAACAGAATCATATCAACTTCATCAGTGTTAAGTCAATACTATAAGTTCCAAACTAGTCCCTAAGAATACTAAGATATTTATCATTCCAGAGCTCACATATTTTGGTAAGCAAATGCCCTATTGAACAAAAAGGTACGTAGAGACGGTATCTAGAATTCTGTTTGCCTCTCCCCCTTCCCTCCCTTCCCTCCATATTGTAAGCTTAGGAAGCAAGGTCTCTCAGAAGGGTCATTTTTATCTGCATGTACACCTGCACACCAAATCAGGATCCCACTATAGATGGCTGTGAGCCACCATGTGGTTGCTGGGAATTGAACTCAGGACCTCTGGAAGAGCAGCTGGTGCCCTTAACCACCGAGCCATCTCTCCAGCACTAGAAGGATCTTTTTTTAAAGCACAGCCTACACAAGGAAGCAACTGGAAAGTTTATGTAGAAGTCCAGAACACACATTCACCACAAATACTCCAACAGCTGGATAAACAGCAGTATTAGAGAAGTGGTAATAATATGACTGTCTTGAGTAGTTACTACTGATAGCATGCAATATATGTGGATTTAAGGCCACATTTTCAGTTGCATTTAGGCAAGATTTTTAGGGGGTTGCCCCCCTTTTTTTCCTTTCCTCGGGTTGTAAAATTGCAAGTAAGAACACAGTTCCTTAGGGCTTGCAAGAGTCACTAAGCCATCTTCAGAACTCAAGCGGCATGGGCAAATACAAGTGCTACTTAAGTCACCTAAACCCATCTGCAGGATTTTCCGTGCACGGCCCCTGTGCAAAATGAAAGCAGCAAGGCCTCTCAGAGCCTTCAATCACACCATCCAGGAGGGCAGATAAATGCCTCTAAAATTCCCTTTCATTTTATGAACAGAGACTTCCTCGGTTAAGAGACCTTTCCATCTTTCTGCTTCCCCCTTTTCAAAGGGCTGAATTTTAATGCAAATCTAATTACTCCCTCGATCAGGGCAGGCAGATGCTGTGCAGGCCTCTCTTCCTGAGCCACATGTCAGTGCAGACCTGAAAATACCCCTCCTTCCCAGCCAGAGCAGCAGTTGGGGCCTTAGGCACTCCAGCTACCCCTGGCTGGACGCAGGAGAACGAAGACCGCTGGACACACACACACAGCCCACAGCGACACCCATCCCTAGGGGACCCCTTTCCAGTTTTTACTGGAACACATATATTAACCCTTTCCCTACCCACAGGACACTGCTCTGGGGAAAGCCAGTCTGATTTTTAATGCCCTCTAGCACCATCTAGTGGTCACAGGTTTTAAATGTTGCCACTCTTTTCAGGTATTTTGCCAGAGATCAGTGTGATCAAAGAATATAAAATAAATCGAACAACAATCCAAACTACTTCATATTTCTAGAACTAAAATAACTCAAACTTCTGCAGACTAAAAAAACCTATCTGAATGACTCAGGACTTTTTTTTAAACCAACTTCACGCTCATTTTTTTTTTTGTTTTTTGTTTTTTTAAGAATAAAACAACACCTATTTAAAGCTATTGGTTTTAGAACTGCAATTTGAACTGATTCTTCTAAAATAAAATATTCATTGGTAGAATATTACAAAGATAAGTGTACAAGAGAAATGAGAATTTTCTTTTGATCTATGAAACTTCCCCATTGAAATGTTGTTTACTTTCATGCATCTGAATTTTCTTTGTCTGTCTGTTTGTTTGTTTGTTTGTTTGTTTTTCAAGACAGGGTTTCTCTGTGTAATCTTGGCTGCCCTGGAATTCACTTTGTAGACCAGACTGGCCTCGAACTCTGAGATCCACTTGCCTCTGCCTCCCTAGGTCTGGGATTAAAGGCGTGAGCCACCACCTCCCAGCCAATCTTTACTTTTTAATCCTTTGCTGTTTTAAGGGATTTATAAAGTGGAGGATTTAACCTATTTGTTGGTCATCCAATCTAGGTATGTAAGTTAATGGAAATACTATGTATCGATATAATATTTAATGTTCTTCTGGTCACTGAAAAATACAAAACTCAAAATCTAACTATGGTAGCAATGTATAATCTGCAGAAAGGAGCGTGTACCATCTTAGCCTTAAGTTTATTATCACTTTTCATGATAAGTAAAAAATCTAATAGCGCGGCTTTAATTCCCAGCATGAAATGCAAGCGAGAGACCAGAGGCTCAGAAACGGTCTCAATCCGAGCAGAGCTGACTCGCACTAGACTCTGTGAGGTCGGAGGCTGCTGGCGGCCATACCCACCTGGATGAGGAGGGGATGCGTGGGCCACCTGTCAATTGTGCTCCACTTCATGGTGGGCTTCCGTCCCATCTCGTTATAGTATCTGTAAATGGCATTTAAACTGCTGCCTAAAATACAAGGGAGCCATTTAGTACACACTTGATTGTGGTGCAAATACAACACAGACGAGGAAGGGCAATAATTGTAAGTTCAAAGTAGGCAGCTGTGTCTATACAGAAACCCAGTCTAATTACGATCTTTTCAATACTCTAAAATGCATATAGATTTAACTACCCTGCAAATGAAGATCACTAAAGAGCAATCAATTTCAACAGACCTTCAAAGATTATTGAGGCCATTTCCACTGAGAGACGTGAGGGCTGCAAGTTTATGAAATATAAGCTATTGTGAATTTGCAGGGACCAAGTCTTCAAATTGAGAGCATGTGAAGAAAAGCGTTCCCATTATGACCGGAATCAGCCCCATTACAGGCAGTGTAGGGGGTGAGAGAAAGACAGAAGTGGGCTGTTATCCCAGCATGCTGACGTTGCTTTGTGTCACTCTGGTAGAGCTGTTTTCTGGTATTTTCCTTTATAGCTGTTTCACTTTACAAACTCTTCATGTTAGAATATGCATAATTCTATATCTAGAGCATTTTGGACATTTTCAGTCAATATTACAAGTCAACTATTTCTAAGGTTCAAATAGAAGCTTTGAGGCCACCCTTTCTAAAGGTGCAATCATAGGGCAAGCAGCCTATCAAGGGTCTAAAAGCCTGCATTTAATCAATTTTTACAAAATGTACCATTCCCTGGAAGAAAGGAAACAAACGCTGCCCTCTGGCAGGTAACCTAACAAGAGCGGTGTTTCTAAGTAAATGGTGAATATGATGATAATCCAAAGTCCAGGAGAGGAAGCTGACACTAGTGTCAAATCCTAACGCCCATAAAACCAACCCTAACGGGGAGTAGGGGATGGTGATGGTGCCTCTTCCTCGGTCTCCCTCAAAGCAAGCTCCAACATGTGTACGTCCTGCCTATCACCAGCTTCCTGGTTTCCTTACCATAGGAGTCATAGTTAACTTGCCAATTTAAAAGGCTTACTCAGGACAGAGACACGGTTTAACTCAAAGTGTTTGCCCAGGCTAAGATTTAACTTGCATTAAAAAGAAAAATCAATGAACTCAATTTCAATGAGTAGAAACAGTGATGTAAGAGAATCTAAATTTGAGGGACAAAAATAATCTCCACAGAAATCAAAGTATCCCATCATATTCCCACTGGAGGTCTCACCACACACTTGGGCATCATTTTATGATGCAAAAAATGGTTTCTGGCTGGGCGGTGGTGGCGCACACCTTTAACCCCAGCACTCGGGAGGCAGAGGCAGGAAGATCTCTGTGAATTTGAGACCAGTCTGGTCTACAAGAACTAGCTAGTTCCAGGACAGCCTCCAAAGCTACAGAGACACTGCCTCAAAAAAAAAAAAAAAGAATAAATAAATATGGCTTCTGGGTGCCACATTGACGCTCTCAAGTCACCGGATACCAGTCAATATCCTACCGGAAGAAGTAATTAAGAAGGGGGAAATATAGGTGAGAAAGATGTCATGAGAGACACACAGAACACATAGTTCCTGTTTAAAAGACACTAGCGAAAGGAGAATATTGGCCTCAAAGAATAAATGTGTTTCCTAAAACACCCGTAGCTCAGACGTACAGATGCTTGGTTCTTATACATGAGATGCACTGAGGAAAGCCATGTGTGCCCCAAGCCCTGCCCACACAGCACGAGCCATCTGTGAGGTAGAGAGCATCTGTTGCCACACAAATAACAACTGAAACTCACTTACGTACTTATGAGAGCAGACATCTGTAAGCTGAGGGACATTTTGCAAAACATGATAAAAATACGCCTTGAAAATTCTAAGATCTGACTCATTCCCCCAATAATATATTACCAAGTATTTTAAAAGCGTAGATTCCCACAGTAAATCACAATTCAAATTTTCAGATTTCTGGGTGTATGGAGAAGATTGGTCATTTTAACAGGTGCATGTTCTCTCTCTCTCTCTCTCTCTCTCTCTCTCTCTCCACACACACACACACACACACACACACACACACACACACACACACACACACACACAGTATTTAAGGCACACAACACTTGGAATGTTTCTTCCATAGCCTTTTGTTCCTCCCTCTAGGTATAATAACATTAATATTCAAAGGAAAACTGGGAATACTAATGTGCTGACCTAAACCCTTGAGAGAATGCAAATATACTGGTAGGTAATAATAAAGCTTTACCTATAATTAAGAATAGCAGGGCAAGGTGGTACACACCTTTGATCTCAGCACTCAGAAGGCAGAGGCAGGCAGATAGATCTCTGTGAGTTCAAGGCCAGCCTGGTCTACATAGACCTGGCTCAAAAAAGCAAAATGCAAACAAACAAAAAAGAATATATGTTTTCCTAAGCTTTTGTTTCCTCTTTAGTCAAATATACAGAGAACAGCAAGGAGTAATGCACTCCAAAAACCAAGAACACAGAAAGGTTTGTAATATATTAATTTGAGCCCTCCCATTAGGTTTTTGTAGTTTTTACTTGTTGATTTTGTTTGTTTATTTGTTTGTTTTTGAGATAGACTCTTACCATGTAACCTTGGCTGGTCTGGAACTCACTCTATGGATCAGGCTGGTCTCAAGTACAAAGAGATCATCCTGCCTCTGCCTGGGATTAGAGGTGTGAGCCACCACACCTGGACAGGGTAGATTTTATTTTCCAGATTTCCATATGAATACTTCTGCTTTCAAAATGGAAACAGTTTATTCCCTTAATAAGAATTTCAAGGTAGACATAGAAATAGTAAGGTTATGATGCAAACCTAGAAAATGACGAAGGTTTGTTGCTGATCTTTTAACCAACTGTATTAAAGTATCAACCAAGTGCAGCCAAGCCTTCCACCCACCATTTGTAATTCTCAGCTGGCAGGCCAGTGACTCCGGAAGCACATGCAGCATGCAATTTCAAATCGACTGACCTGAACTCTTAAGTGTCAAGGAGACACTTGACCAGATCTACCAGATCTGCCATTCAAATTGCAAATTCCTTCAACACTCAGACTCCTGGGCTAACTCTGCCAGGGTTATAGCCACCTTTGAGATGCCCTTACCGGTGGTGGAGCAGCTATACTGTGGATACTGTGTGAAAGCAATGGCCCTTTCTAGGCCATCTCTCTCCATCTCTTCAATTGCTTCTTCTGTCAAAGGATGGACGTACCGGAATCCAATATAGTATTTGTGAGGTGCTATTAGGAAGCACAAGAAGGAAGGAGAAGGTATTAATCTTTATATAGATTCCTCAGAGTCACCAAACATAATGTAATGACCAGAATAATGAACAACTAACCCAATTTTCTACAATGCTGATACAGTGAACAAGTTAGGCTATTCCTAGCATCTTGCCCATCTTTTTAGCAGGTACAGGGGCACTTGGTTATTCTCTGAAATCAACAGTACTACCCGCCTACCTTTTATTAATATGATCATCTTTAAAATGCAAGCTTTTATTATTATTCATCTGTTCTCACCAGGCATAAAGAAACTGAAAAAAAGGGAGGGGGGACCTAAAGCTGGACTGTGGTGGAGCACACCTTCACTCACAGCACCTGGGAAGCAGAGGCAGGAAGATCTCTGTAAGTTCGAGGTCAACCTGAGTTTTTCTGCCATATTTAAAGAGATGCGCTGTGGCCTGTAAGGCTGAGTTGCCCATGAAAAGCCCTTGAGCCCAGCAATGCAAACCTGATGGTCAGAAGTACAGTTGAACAATTTTCTAAGTGAGATGCTCTGCTTAGGGAGTAGGCCCCTTGGTGCAACGGGGACTGGTAGATACTGAGAACATTCCAAGTTGAAGTTCAGTGATGCTTTCTCAGAGAGAACTCTTATGGTCCTGCCAAATAGGCTGTGGCCCTAGGACCACACTCTTGTCTTGAGTATGAAGTCATGGAATACATTTACAAAAAATACATTTTCATGTATCATAACTTGAACTTTTTCAGTTTTAACATTTCCCATTATGCTGGTTGATTCTGTCAAGTTGACATAAACTAGAATCACTTGGGAGAGGAAACTTCATTGGAGGAATCGCCTTGTCAGATTGCTTTGCGGGAGTGTCTGTTGGGGCATTTTCTTGACTGATGGTTGATGTGGGAGGGTCAAGCTCACTATTGGCAGTGCCACCCCTGGGCAGGAGGTCCTCAATGGTATAAGAAAACAGACTGAGCCGTGCATTGGTGGTGACCCACGCCTTTAATCCTAGCACTTGGGAGGCAGAGGCAGGTGGATCTCAGTGAGTTTAAGGCCAGCCTGGTCTACAAAGTGAGTTCTGGGACAGCCAGGACTGTTACACAGAGAAACCCTGACTCAAAAAAAAAAAAAAAGAAGGAAAGGAAAGGAAAAAAGAAAGAAAGAAAGGAAAGAAGAAAGAAAGGAAGAGAGGAAGGAAGGAAGGAAGGGAAACAAAGCAGGCTGAGCAAGCCAGGAAAAACCCACAAGGAAGCAGCTCTTGCCTCCAGGCTCCTACTTGAGTTCTTGCCTTGGCTTCTCTCAGTGATGGACTGTTACAAGGAAATATAAAATGAAATAAGCCCCTCCCTCCCCAAGTTGCTTCTGGTCAGTATGGTATCACAGCAACAGAAAGCAAAGTAGGACACTCGTCCTGGCCCACGCTTTAGTATTCTATGAAACTACGTGTCCTGTAATCAAGTGGACCTTGGATGGGAACAAATGTAGCACTGTAGCTCATTCCCTTGTTTAGTGTCTCAGTCTATGCAGAGGTCTCACAAGTTACCAGATGTGTGCCATTAGAGTCAGGTCAATGTGGCAAAGCTCAAAGCATGGCTGAAGATTGCTCAGCTATCCTTAGAGCTACAGCTAGCCACTTCTTAAATGCTCATCTAATTACTATCTAACTAGAATAAGGGCATTGCAACAGCCTTACCCATCTTCTGTGTATGGCGTATTGCTTCTTCTTTGCAATCTAGCTCAACTTAACTTCAAACTTCCTTTTGAAACATTTTCTAACTTTTCAGTTTATTTGTAGCATTTGAAGTAATTTTAAAAGGGTCTACAGTCAGAGGACAATGTCTTGAGAACTCAGTCAAATGACGGTGTATTATATATTATAGCAACTTACAAATCAATAGTTGTTAGCACCTGGACCAGGGGAACAGACAGAAAAAGTGCCTGCAGCACACACATGAAGACTGGAGTTGAGAGCCCCAGTAACCACACAAAAAGCTGGCCAAGTCAGTGGCCACCCATAACCCCAGCACATAGGAGGCAGAGGTAAGAGATCCCAGGACCAGCTGGCCAGTTTAGACTAACTGAATTGATGAACTCTGGACTAAACTGAAAGACCCTGTCTCTATATATATAAAGTGGAAAGCAATGGAGGAAGATCCCAAACATATTAACTTCCGTCCTCCACATGCACACACATGCGTGCTCTCACAGCTGCAAACATGTAATACATCAAACACACACACACACTTTGCCAATGTGTGTGCTAAGAATCATCCTGCCTCTCCCTCGTCCATGCTGGGATTACAGGAGTGCACCACCATGCCTGACTCTTAATTTCTACTTTGACAACCCTAGCACTGTAGCAGTGAGAACACACACCTGTGTCAGGGGACAGCTCATCCAGCAACTTCACCATGCCTTCTCCTTGCTTGGAAGTCCACATCTTGATGGGGGAGCCACCTCCAATCCTGCGATACTGCTCTTGAATTTTGGGGGTTCGGCGTTTGGCGATGAATGGTGCCAGCTTGCTAAACCATTGAACAAGCAAGTGGATTTTATTCCACCTTTGTAATCTGAGATATATTTTCTACTCAATAAAGAAGAGATGAGCGAAAAGCCTAATATTAATATGACCAGCCTTTAGGAACACTGCCATGAGGTCCCTGACAATTCAGCATGGATTTGAAAGGTCACCCCTGTACCCCATGAGTGTTTGAGGAACACCTCCTTGCACATCCTAGGTACCTGACACCCCCAACCTGGATGCTGCTAGCCAGCATCCTACATGCTGACTCTGCATGGGAAGCATACATTGATTTCATGATGCAAGACTGAATCGACTGAATCAGGGTCCTCATCAATGCTGGGAAAGGACTCTATCATTGAGGTGAAGCCCCAATACCATGCAATTTGTTTTTAATTTGGAGACAGACTCTCACCATGCTGCATCAACATCCCTGGAACTCACAATGCTGCTGAACCTGGCTCTGGGTGTTACTTCCCCAGCTTCTTGCATCACCAAACCTAACTCACACAGGCTTCTTTTTAATTTTTGTTATGTTTACTATTTGTTGTGTGTGTGTGTTTGTACCTATGCAAATGCACATGTGTGTATACACTCTGGCACAAATGTGATGGTCAGAGACAACTGACAGGAGTTGGTTTTGTTTTCTTCTTCTACAATGTGGGTCCCTCCATGACATGTACACACCCACACAGATACTAAATTAATGTAAAAAGAAAATTATTGTTTGGTGTTATGAAAGGGGTTTCAGTGGATCAACGTAAAGCTTAAATTTCAAACAACAATTTCTGACACATCTATTAATACTGAGTACAATCTTAAGAAAGTCCTCTGGAAAATAATACATGGCTCAGCATATTTCCTTTTCCAAAACAACTACATATTACAAAAACAAAAATCTCTCAACAATAACAGAACTGAAGTGAAGAGTTTAGAAAGCATAGTATCAAACAGGCCTTGGGTTAAATTCCAAAATTCTTGGGCATCCAAACCCCACTACTGGACTGGAAAGATGACTTAGCAGTTAAGAGCATGCACTGCTCTAACAGAGGACTCAAGTTCTGTTCCCAACACCCATGTCGGGCCGCTCACAACCACCTGTAACTTCCACCCCAAGGAACCTGACGCCCTCTTCAAGAAGCCTCAGCACCTGTGTCCACACATGCAGACACACAGTTATACACATAACTCAAAATCTTTTTCCCCCTGAGACAGGGTTTCTTCTGTGTTGCCCTGGCTGTCCTACAACCAGCTCTGTAGACCAGGCTGGCCTCAAACTCACAGAGATCCATCTGACTCTGCCTCCCGAGTGCTGGGGTTAAAGGTGTGCACCACCATCTTTTTAAAAAGCCTCTCACAGAGAGATATATTTAGTTATATCCATATCCAGGTACACCTTGTGCTAAGGTTAAGGTAAGCTTATCTGTAATTGTACCAATGCCAGTGCCTTCCTCTTCTCAAAGTGCCCGTAGAACACTTTGTAACCTGCCATTTGCTCTATTTAATTCAAGGCAGAGGTGACTGTGTGACATTGTGGCTGGGATGGTTTGGAAGGACTTTGCATAGGCACTCACTCCACACAGTCACCTTCCTAAGGCACTAAATAGCTCACCAGCATTGGTGGCATTCTGGCACATCACCAAACAGTAAGAAAAAATGAACAACATAGATCATCTGAAAATAAACGTTTTAATTGTTTCTCAGCTGGCAAGTAAGTTAATAATATTCTAAGACAATAGAGTTAGGACGAAGGTAGGGAATTCCTGGGCCCTGACTAGCAAGCCAACAAACAAAGCGAGTCTATGAATCCAAAGCTGAAATCACTTTTAGTATGATTTGTTCTTTACCACAGCTACATTCTCAGTGTCATACATTGCTCTTAATATGTATGTTTGTGTGTGTGCTTGTGTTTGGGAGGCGCATGTGTATTTGGGTACAGATGTGTGTATGTGTGTGTAGACCACAGAAAGACCTTAAGCATCGTTCCTCTGCCAACCACCCTTTTAAGACAGGGCCTCTTCCTGGCCTGGGACTCACTAAACAAATTAGGCTGGCTGGTCTAATTTGTTCCAGGGGTCTGCATGTTTCTACTTCCCCAGTACTGGGATTGGATTACAGCTGGCTTAAAAAACAAACAAACAACAACAAAAAACAAAGACTAAGACATGGGTTCCAGGAACTGAACTCCGAGACATCACCATAGTCCACATTGCTCTTAATTGAACAAAAGGAAGGCTAATCCTATATGGCTGTATATGTGGATGGTGAGGTACACAAAACAGGGTTTACTGCCACACTGTAAACAATGTCTACCCATGAAGTGAAAGTTAATATAATCATACAATGTAATTATAAATAGTCACGAAAAAAATGAGATAGGTCTATATAGTATTTTGGGAAACAAAATAACAAAAGTCACTAAGTGCCAAATAAGGTACATTAGTATGTTCCCATTTGTATAATGACATGGGGAAGAATACATAGGTGTATACATACTCACATACGCATGCATTGTTTCAAATAGAACAGTACTTACATCTGGTTAACTGTGCTTGAATTCAAGGCGATAGGGATATTTGCTTTTTAGTGTAAATATATTATTTGCATTGTAGTCAAATACATGTATTAATTTTTCATCGGGAAACATCTTCAGAAAGAAAACTAGAGAAAAGGAAGTGGTGAGAAGCCACACCCCACCCTCAAGTGCAAGGGCGTGACAAGCCGAGTTAAACAGCAGTAAGTGCCAAGCACAGACACATCTCTAAAAATCTTGGAAACTTTCAAGTTGCTTAGCTGTGCTTAGACAACTGTAACTCCCAGGGCTCTGGGGAGGAGGGTGCTCAAGGAGAGCGCTCACTAACTGACTCCCAGCAAGTCCTCACACACCACTTCCTTCTCCTTTCTAACAGAAGACAGAGGGCTGTCATGACCACGATCAGAGCTACGCAGAACACAAGTACACAGCACACGTTGTATCTACACAGTATATCTTACTTTTGAATGGGAAGTGTCATGAGGTCTCGGTCCAAGAAGAGTCTTTGAAGGAAGTCTTGAACTTCTCCAAGGGTTTCGGGGCCCCCCATGTTTAACATTAATATGCCGGTTTTTGGCTTCCTACACAAGAAAAAAACAATTCACTGGCCACAGTTTCATTTGCTCTGGGGCAGATGTTACTTCAGCTGATAAGAACGGGGCAGACATTACTTCAGCTGATAAGAACCCACAGCCCTTTGCTGCCATCACAGGGCTGTCTTCTTAGAGGCACAGAGGGCCCCCACTTCTTCACCTCAGACTCTGACCTTGTCTCTAGGTTCCAGCCCTGAAGTTGGCATTAACTGAACTCAAAGCTTCCCTATTATCCTGTATGGATCATGGATTCATCTATTCTGGATATGTCACAGAATAGACTCGCACAGCTATGTTTGGTTTCTTAGTGCAAAATGCCTTAGATTTCTCCATGTTACAATAAGAATCAGTACTTCATTGCTTTTGACTGCTCAGTAACAGTCTACTCTACAGCTATCCCCACCATCTAGTTTTAAAAATATTTTTATTTATCTCTGGCCATTCCGTGTATGTATTTGACCTGCTTTAATGCCTCCCACTCCCACTGAGTTCCCTTTTTCTTCCTAGGAAGTCTCCACCCTACTGTCATGGGGTTTTAGTTTGCTCGTGACATGCAAAATTCAACTTGGTTTATTTGCATTCAGCAACTCACCAGTGGCTACACTACTGAAGAAAATGACTCCCTCTGCCCTACAAAGCACGAATTTTAACGGCCAAGCACTCCTCAGGGAGGAGCAGGACCTCGGGAACCCCTTTACCATCTGCGCTAGAATACTGATGAGCACACTCTTGAGCATGTCTCCTGTGGATAGCCACTGTGGATATGAGCTCAGGAATGGAACGGCCATGTCATGTCTGAACCGTCTTACAACACACCTCTCCATCTTCTAGCTTTGACAATAGTCCCACCTCCTCCTCCCACTCACATGGAGAGGCCACAGACTGATGTCTTGTGCCTTCCTCTAGGGTTTTCTACTTTACTTTTTGAGACAAGGTCTCTCACTGACTTGGAGCTTACCACTTCAGCTAGCCTGGCTGGATGGTGAGCCCTCAGGATTCTCCTGCTGTTGCTCCGGCCCCCAGCCTTGGGATTACAGACACACAAAGCTGTGCCCAGATTTTATGTGGGTGTGGGGACTTCAACTCATGATTGCTCAGCAGCCCCTTAACCCAGAACCATCTCCCTAGTCTCTATTAAACTTTTTCACACAAAAATGCTACAGTTACACTTACAGGACTATGGAGTTTTCTTGCTACCTAAATGTGCCAGATACATCACCTGGTGAAACTGCAATCTCCCTGAATCTTCCCACTGAGACCACCCATCCTTCTCCAAGTTCTTGTCTCTGTGACTCCTAATAAATTAAGTGCATTTTCCCGTGGATTGCTGCCAGTTAGCAGATTACTGGTTAAGGAAGCCTAGGCTATAAGACTTACCTAAGCCACAAAGGGTATCAATGTGCTAACGGGATTTAGAACTGTGCTTTCCATCTATAGCACCTGAGCTCAGAATAAGAGTGGCTGCAAAGCGGATGTTGCTCGGCCCTGCTCACGTTTCGCAAACCCGTGTTGATTTTATACATGAAAGAGTCGCATATGATTTGAAAATGCCCAACACACGTAAGGCTTAATTCCAAACTGTGTTGTGCATGATGAACGCTGCATTAGTCTGCCTCTGCTGTGTTTCCAGTATGGAGTGCAAGGCTTTAATCAAGAGTCGCTGTCTCTTTTCCCCTTCACGGTCCACACCTGAGACCACGGTCTCACTGGCCAAGGCTCTCTTTGTCTGAACACAAAAGTATCTCCTGTAACACGTGTTTTAAAACTTACTTGGAAAAGTTTAAATGCTTTGCAGTTGCTATATTCTGGGACTTTCAAAGCACAAAGCTTTTCCTTTGAAATGTGTACAATAGGCACTAGAACTCATCAGTTAGCAAACAGTCATTTTATTCCGTGGTATCTGGACAGCGTTGATGAAAAGAAATGAAATCTCAGTTCTTCATTAGACCTATGAGATAGCAGTGACCCAAGGATCTATGCTACTTCTAGAATAGAACCCCCTAAACAGTAGAATCTGCACCAAATTTACAGACAGAGACAAAGACAGACAGACAGACAGAGAGAGAGAGAGAGAGAGAGAGAGAGAGAGAGAGAGAGAGAGAGAGAGAGAGAAAGTTGGAACACAACTCCACTCTCATGTTTGTCTTATCTATGGCTGCCTTGACACTGTAACAAAGGTTAAGAGTAGCAAGGGAGATGATGTGGCCTATAAAACCCAGAAATAAAATAAAATAAACAACCAAACTCCTGATAAAAGCCTGTGGACTCCTAAGCCAGTATAGCAGCTGGTCTAGCAGTGTAGCCTAGCTCAAGCCAAGCCCTAAGCAACACCATGTCTTTCAAAAACATGGCATCAGAATGGCCCCCAGGATGCTCCTTATGTTAGCATCTCAAATACACAAAACTAGACATAACCAGTGCCTTGAATGCAGGCTTGGATAAATAAACTGTGATCTAAACTCTTTGAGATGGTTAAGATTGGCTGTCATTTTGACAGCATTCAGAATCAGCCGGCAGACAAGCCTTTACGATGCCTGCAGGGATTTGGGGCGGAGTTAAGTGATCTACCTTAACTGTGGAGAGCACTATCTTATGCATCCCAGAGTAGATGAAAAGGAGAAAGCAAACTCTGCTTCCCGAGTGCAGACTAGAATGTGGCCTGCCACCTCACACAACTGCCACCACGATGGACTGTACCCTCAAACTGTGAGCAAAGAAAAACCTTCTTTATGTTGATTTTGTAGGTATTTTGTCACAGCAACAAGAAAATAGAAAATATTTGTGAATATATGGTGATAGTAGAAAAATGTAAACAAATATGCATAGTACTGTTTACATGTCAGTAAGTACATATGAGTGGATAATAAAATACTAGATGGTAAGATTACTATGATTTTAAAATCCTTTCTACCCGAATTTTCTATTGTTTAATATAAATATTTCATAAAGTTACTTAATAAAACCTACGGCTTATACTTTTACTTACTTTTAACAATTAATATAATAATAAGGCCACTTATATTACTGACTTTTGTCACTACAAAATATAGCAATTGTGGTGGTTTGAAAGAAAATGGCACCCAAAAGGAGTGGCACTATTAGGAAATAAGGTTTTGTTGGAGGAAGTGTGTCACTGTGGAGGCAGGCTTTGAGGTCTCATGGATGCTCAAGGCATGCCAGTGTCTCAGACCACTTCCTGTTGCCTGCAAGTCAAGATGTAGGGCACTCGGCTACTTCTCCAGCACAATGTCTGCCTGCATGCTGCCATGTCCCACCATGACGATAATGGACTAAACCACTGAATATGGAAGCCACCCTAATTAAATGTTCTTCCTTTATAAAAGTTGCCATGGTTATGGTGCCTCTTCATAGCAATAGGAACCCTAAGACATCAATGAAATAATTTTTCTTCCAGGCTCCTCACAGTTCTTCCACTCAACATTAATACTTTTTCCAAATCTTAAGGGACTGTAGAGTGCATAAGGTACCATGTCCTGCTTGGCATGCCACCAACCCCAAATGCCTGTGCTTCCTACCCTACCTACCAATCACATCTTCTAGGAAGACAGAGTTGACAGGAAGGGATTTGGGACCTATCCCTAATTCCATATCCTAAATAAAACGTCAGTTTCTTTGCCTTCAATCAATAAAATATCGCAATCACAATGAAAAATAACAAACACAAAATGAAAGCATTTCATTTATGTGACTGTTCATGGTGGTTTGAGAATGTCCCCCATGATCTGGGGCATTTGAATACTTGGTCCCTAAGTGGTGGCACTGTTTGGATAGTTTAGGAGGCGTGGCTTTGCTGGAGGAAGTGTGTCACTGAAGTTGGGCTTCCAGGCTCAAAGACTCCCACCACTCCAGTTTGCTGTCTCTACTTCCTGTCTGTGGCTCAAGACGTGAGCTCTCTGACACTGCTCCAGCTGCCATGCCTTTGTCACCCTCTGGAACTGTAACCCTAAATAAACCCTTCCATAAGTTGTGTTTTATCACAGCAATAGAAAAGTAATTAATGATGCCCAGTGTGGCCCACACCTTTAATCTCAGCACTTGGGAAGTAGAGGCAAGAGGATCTCTGTGAGTTTGAGGTCAGCCTGGTCTATGGGCTCCAAAGCTACACAGAGAAACCCCATCTCAAAAAAAAAAAAAAGCAAGAAAGAAAAAGAAAAAAAGTCACTAATATACTGTACAACTCTAGAATGACGTCTTGTCTGGCAGGAAAGTCACAGCCCCTTTACTTCTTAGATCTGAACAACTTCCCTGTATAAAACCTGCTCTTTTTTTTTTTATCACAGAGGAGGTCATTCGGTCATCTATGGCTTCTGCTGCTCAAGACAACACTCAGCTACACCATGGCCATTGCTTCCACCCATAAATACTAAGAGTGAAGCACACTCTATTTCTTTATAAAGGAGAAACCATAGCATATCATTGGTAATTATGCTCATTATGTTAAAAGCTAAAAGTAGAATTTCCTGGAGAAGTTCTTGGTAGGTTAACTACTTTTTATTCTATACAAGGCACACATTTTCTAGGCATAAATATGATCGGTTCATACACAAATATTCAGTATGTACACAATTGATTTCATATATGACATATACTAGGGTCACATTCTTACATGACTGAAGACTATATTTAACTATATGTACTTTATTAGTTCTTGAAAACCTATTATTTAACAGCTGTTAAAAGGAAACCAAGAAAATAACATAACATTGCTAATAAATATAATTGCATTTTCCCAGTCCCTCTCCCCCTAGGTTAGTTGAACCCACTTGTGTCTGTCATAACAGAAAGCAAAGAGAGTCTTAATTGAGCCTATAGTTACCTCCTTTCTGGTTGAGCTTGAGGCTTTGCAGTTTTGGCATGATGCACTTTCTCTGTGGTGGCCGCTGCCGCCGCACCCGACTGGCACCTCCATGGCTGACAGGCCCTCGAGCTGCCATGCGCCACTGTGACAAAATTAAAGTGCTAGCATGAAATCTAGTTGGAAAGTAATTTCTTTTCAAGAGGTCCTCAGGGCATAACTCCTGGCTTTAAATTTTAAAATGGTGCAACTGCAGGGGTGATTTTTCCCAGCGTCTCTGCAGGCAGGTAACAGTACTGAGGACTTCTTGCTCCAGCAGGATGGGGTGCAGGTTCCCTGCTCCAGTCACACACACCTTCTCACCCTGCCCTGACTCATCCCTAGAACCTCTGCACACTCAGAGTATTTCTACTGGTGGGGCAGTGCTAAGACAGTACCATGGGAACCATGGGGAGCTTAGGAACTCATAATGTAGGGTCGTTTAGAGTGGAGACAGTTCCCAAGTAACTGTATCCAACTTCTGTCTTCAAGCCTTCTGGGTAAAGCATCGGTGATGGGAACCCCGGAATTGCCCTGTGCTCTGACCATGAGAAGGGGGCACATTCTCTTCTGCGGGAATACATCTACAAAGTGTAGAGCCCATCAGAGTCCAGTACTCCACATGACATACCAGGCTCTCAGGGCCCAGAACTCAAGAATTCCCTCTCCCCTAAGCCCCACAGCTAATTCCAGAGTCTGTGCAGACTCCTTCCCTGGATCTGTCCTCTGGAGGACAGACGTTGCCACCCATATAAGCAGTTTGTGACCTTCAGGATGGCCAAGGGGTGGTAGGAAAGATCTGGGGTAGGAAGAGAATCAAGTAAAGCTTGCGGGTCAACATTCTCAAGGACTCTTCTCCACAGCAGCTTAGGAGAGTTCGAGACTTCATCCTTCCAGGTGGTTAGGAGGGTCTGTTGGTGAAGGCTCACAGACAGGACTCGCTATTCTATGTGTGATACCCATGTCCCTAACAGACACTCTTGACCTAAGCTCCGCAAGAGTAGGTGATGGGCCAGGAAAAGAACTGAACCAAGGAGTATGCGCGCCATGCTGAGCTGTAACATGGTGCGTTGGTCCTTAAGCAACAGTGAAATCAAATTGAAACCACAAGTTAGTACTAGGGAAGACAGCAAGGGGCAGTGTGTGGCTACTGTGTGGCCTCCTTCCCCACTCTCCCAATGCCAGGTTAGAAACTAGTCTGGGACCCGTTATCGTCTGTCTGTATTCTCCTCTAAGTGCCGTGGTGAGGGCAAAGTTCAGGCTGGATCAAGCTGGTCTGACTCTAAGTTCAGCTTCCACTTCCTAGCACTGTGACCTGAGTCAGACTACAATCTCATAGAGCCTCAGCTCCCCGGCTGTAACATGATGAGGGTTTAAAAATCAGAAGCACTCTGGTGCATCTGCCATGTGACAGGTGCTAGTATCATATTAGTATAACAGTTTCATCTGGAAGTTTCTAGAGAAAGCAACCACACCTGCTCTAGTTTCTTTAAATCACCCAAATGGGAACAAAATAAAAGAAATGGCACAGGCTGCCCAGGTGGCCTGGATGTCTTTCTATCCAGACTGCATACACTCCCATGCCGGTGCACGTTTGTAACCACAGCACTCAGCGAGCTGAGGCAGGGGGATCTTTAGTTTGGGACCAGCTGGGGTTTGAGTCAGACTCTGCCTCAAAACCAGTAAATAAAAGCAGATGGCGCACATTTCCGGCAGAGCCCACTACATGAGTTTACGCTGGGGAAACCTCTCTAAATCAAGGCAGAGTGGAAAGACTGACATAAAGAAGTTCAATTTCACTCAAATGAACTCTCAGACAACTCACACACACCCTTGTTTCAGACAAGTTTAATTACAAACTACACGATGAGATTTAAACAGGTATTCAACATGTGCAATGTCTCCAAGTCCCTACCTATGAGATTCCATCAGATCCTATGAGCTATGATGATAGAATTCTAACTGATGGTCATAAGAGATCTTTCTGTGAACCTAACAAAAGGAAAGGTGGTGAGACAGGACTAGATTCCCCAGGTAGTACATTACGGTTTCCTAGTACAATCTCCAAGCTTCCTACCTGTTGCCATGCCCTGGAATACAAAATTCTTGTCACTGGCTGAGCAAACTTAGGTACTGATAAGGGATCGCTCCTACTGTGACTTAGGACTAACATACCCATCCAGAACAGCTCTCAAACATCCCACTCTGGCTACTGGGCTATTAGAGATATGGAAGGGCACAAGGAGCAGGTGGCCAGAGAAGATAACAGAGGTCAGTATGCTCACAGTGTCACATGCTTGTATGAAAATGTCACAGAGAAACCACACAAATTGTACAAATTACATATACTAACTAGAATTAAATAGGATCCCACACTATCTTAGAAGCAGGGGCCGTGGAAGTAGGAGGACTTGCTTCCCAGATTTGGCCAGTTATTCTGATTTTTGTTGTTTCAACGCATTGTAACAATGAACAGGAGAAGGACTGTCACTGTTTGTGATAACTTGCAAAACCAATATAATTTCTGAGCCATTAAAATTTAAAATATTAAGCCGGGTGATGGTGGCGCACGCCTTTAATCGCAGCACTCAGGAGGCAGAGGCAGGCGGATCTCTGTGAGTTTGAGGCCAGCTTAGTGCACAGAGTGAGTTCCAGGACAGCCTCCAAAGCTACAAAGAAACCCTGCCTCGAAACTCCCCCCACCAAAAAAAAGAAAAAAAATTATAAAAATATTTTGTGGCTGGAGAACTTAGGGGTTCAGAACACTGCTGCTCTTGCAGAGGACCTGAGTTCAATTCCTAGCACTCACATTTGGTAGCTTACAAACACCTGTACTCCAGCTCCAGATCTCATCTGGGGTACCTGTACTCACATGCAAATACACACACACACACACACACACACACACACACACACACACACACAATTTATAACAAGTCTTGTAAAAAAATAGAAATTTTACTTTGAGCATATCATGAAAAAAAATTCCATGCATCAAACTGATAACAGGCTGCTGTCACATATATTGCATAAAAAAAGCAGAAGACATTATGGATGTGTATATGTATCATTAAAAAAATCAAAGATGGGAGTGGGAGAGATGGCTCAGTGCTTGACACACTTGCTGCTCTTACAGAGGACCCAAGTTTGTTTCCTAGCACTCATTAGGTAGCTCACAACTACCTGTACTTCAGCTTCAAGGGGATCGGACCCACACACAGATATATACACATAATTAAAAATAAAAACAATTTTTAGAAAGATGGGATTAAACAGAAAAGCACTAAATGCATAATAAGCTACAATGTTTGTAGACTGACTGCAAAATATACAAGGTGAAATAAAAAGCGATTAACATGAAAGATAAAAGTTCAGTTTCTGCTGGGTGTTGGTGGTGCACACCTTTAATCCCAGCACCTGGGAGGCAGAGGCAGGTGGATCTCTGTGAGTTCGAGGCCAGCCTGGTCTACAGAGCAAGTGCCAGGACAGGCTCCAAAACAATACAGAGAAACCTGTCTCAAAATACCAAAAAAGAAAAAGTTCAATTTTGTAAAATCTTAAAAACACAAATGACAAAACCAAAAAAAAGGAAACATGCATAGATCTAATAGAATCCTTGAATAAGAAAATACAGAATTCTGTGTGTGTGTGTGTGTGTGTGTGTGTGTGTGTGATGTACAGTATATGACACACTAGAGGAACCATCTTACTACTTCTAAATGATAAAAACAGAACATAAAACTGCCTTTTCCAGTTTCATTTCCAGAACTCAGTTGCAGAAAATACTCAATTTTCTCTTAACTAATATTAACCTTTTCCTGTCCACCAAAGTACCACCTTAAAAACTGGAGTGTAAACAGTTAACCCCGAAACTCACAACTACCTAAAGTGCAAAGATTGAAAGTCTTCAAGCCACAAATGGTCCTATCACAGCCCCTGTCCACAAAAGGCTGAGGGAACAGAGCCGAACGGGGGCAGAAAGACTTTAAGAGTCAGACACTGAGGAGGACTAGGGCAAAACATTGTGTCCCAGACATGACAAAACTGCCACATTCATGAACTCATTGCACTTGCTGCACAAGATTTGCACACGATCAAGCCAGCCAACCTGCCATCATGGTGTGATGAGGGACTCCTGAGCTTCCACCCTCGCTAAGGAGCTACTGTCAATTAATGGTTTCTGGAGAGGGAAGTGTCAGGCTCTTTCTAAAAGGCAAGGCTGATAGCTGATCATTCTCTAGGGCAATGGTTCTCAACCCTTGGGGGTTAAATGATCCTTTCACAGAGGTCACCTAAGGCCATTAGAAAGCTCAGATATTTACATTTTAATTCATATCAGTAGCAAAACTACAGTTATGAAGTAGCAAAAGAAATAATTTTATGGCTTGGGGATCGCCACAACATAAGGAACATTATATTAAAGGCTCGCAGCATTAGGAAGGGTGAGAACCACCACTTTGGTGGCTGACTCCATGCCTATGGGCATATGGGTAGTATAAGTAGGATTTATGGGCTAAAAAAAGAGAGGAGAGGAGAGGAGACAGGGAGTTAGGAGGGGTGGGGAGTGGGCAGGAGTTAGGGAAAAGAGGTTGGGGTGAATGTAATCAAAATACATTGTATGCATATATGAAATTCTCAAGGAATAAAAAATATTTTTTCAAAGCATTGGAGCCTGTAATGAAGTTAGGACTGAGATATACTGTGGATTCTGAATCCTTTCACTTAGCTTTCCACAGAAAACCATTTCATTTCTCATATTGTTTCGTGACCTCCAATCTTGGATCTGTTTGACTTTATTTGCCACTGGAAAGGATGGTGAAAGAAAAGATTAATTTGGTACTTCCTTTACTGACACTGTCCTTATCTTAAAGATAATACCTTTTGTTTCCCAGTGTCCTTAGGAGGCTGATTTTCGGAGTATATTTTGTCCACCCGAAACAGGTGCCAAATTGACAGATTAGGACACTCCTTTGAAATAGGTCAGGTCTAGTCACCATTCAGATTTATTAAGTGAGTGTCTCACTTGTGGCAGTCAGTAACTGAGTGGCATCAGTAACTGAGGGGCTCTACACTGCTACTTCACCTGGGTCCTAAATTTCACAGCAAACAAGCGAGTTTGGCGAGGTTGGAGCCCTGGATCAAAGTGTCATTGCTCAATTCAGTCCAGCCGAGTGTGTTCCTCCCAGAGTCCATCTGGTGGGCACACTCTACGTACCGGCAACACTTGAGATTTCATTTGTTTTCTAATATCCCACGAAAACTCTAGTCCGGGCCTCCCCACGGTGGGTTCTTCTTCCCAGAAACCATGGCATTGGCCTGGGCGGAGCAGCAAAGAGCAGAGTGACAGTCACCAGCAGAGAGCGAACTGCAAGGCAGATGCCAACAGTGATGGTGACAACGACGCCTGAGTCGCCATAATCACTAACGCAGCTACTGCTCGAGCCCCTCACCGCGCCCCCCCCCAAGGTGGCCCTTGCGACTCGAACCCGCGGCCTGCCGGCCGCTCCTCGCGTTCGCGATCGCAGACGCAACCTCACTTACGCGGCTGGCGGAGCAGCGCGCCGGCAGCCCGCAGGGCTGCGGCCATGTTGGCGCCGGCCGAAAGCATTTCCGGGACGGCCAGGGATCCTCTGCGGCGGCGCTACAGCAAGGCCAGCGAGCGCCTACCGAACCAGCGCTCCGCACCCGCGCCCCGCGCGCTCGCCGGCCGCCAGGGGCGGGGCCTGCCGGAGGGCCGCCCGGGGGTGTGGTCGGGAGGGCGGGGCTTGGAGGTCCGAGTGCCCAGATGCTGCCGGCTGGAATCTGTGACTGGCCTAGATAAGGCCTGTGGCTTGGAGATCAGCTCCTGCCACCACGGGTCAGTGCACCCAAAGTCCCGCTAAGTCTGCGGCGCCGGCCGGTCGAATAGGCCAACCTGGTTGAAACTGGAACGACAGCCACGACTCGGCAAAAGACTTTCTGGACGTTTCCTTACAGTCCTTAGACGTGCCCAGGAGTTTGCCTCCCTTTCCCAGATTGTTTGCTTCGATGAGACCCTTTCACCTTGCTCCCAGAGCAGAAAAAGAGAGAGAGAGACAGAGAGAGACAGAGACAGAGAGACAGCCAGAGTTTGTGTGTGTGTGTGTGTGTGTGTGTGCTTCAAAGCTCCTCTCGAGTTTAAGACAAAGACACCAAGGTAATATTGCTGGTGTGAGGGCGTTAGAATGGGTGGGGTCAGGAAGGCAGGCAGACGGGTTAGAAAGGAGCTGTGGAGACAAAGCAGGCAGAACGGCATTCTGAAAGACGCGGGCACACTAGGAAGGGAGAAGAACGGAGAGTGAGACTGACAGAAGCCCTCATGGAGACTTGGGAAAAGGACCCCAGGGAGGGAAGCAGAGGGAGAAGGAAGAAGGGTAACCTGGCCACTAGTTTTCTGTGGCTAGACTCTGAGCTCCTGACTTTGCTTGCTGTGTTTATAAGACAGATGTAAAATGTAAATGTGTTACAATTCATATAACTGACAGGATCTTCAAACTCAAGCATGGCGTTCCCTGAGAAAACTAAAACTTGTTCTAAATTACTTCTGAGTGCATTTCCCCCTCAGCACTGAGGGCTGAGCCCAGAGCCTCCCACAGGCTCTGCCTGTGGCCTGTCACTTTGAGGCAGGGGTTTTAGGTTGTCAGGGCGGGCCTTGAACTTGCCAGCCTCCTGCCTCAGCTTCCCCAGTAGCTGAGAGTGCAATAGTGAACCACCAGGCCAAGTCCTTTGCCAATTCTTGACTTCACAATCAAAATGGTACTAGAGATTGCCCAATAGAGAGATTGGGGGAAGTTAGGGAATAGAAGGAGAGAGAGAGAGAGAGAGAGAGAGAGAGAGAGAGAGAGAGAGAGAGAGAGAGAGAGAGAGAGAGAGAGAGAGAGAGAGAGAGAGAGAGAGAGAGAGACTGGGGGAGGTTAGGGAATAGAAGCAGATAGAGAGAGACTGGCTTCTCAAGGGGGCCGCTTCCTTTCTCATGAGAAGGTGGAGGTGAGGGACAATGCTTGCACAGGGACAAACATCTGGAGAAAACGATAACAGATGGGAGGGCCCAGGGGCCTTACAGAATACCGAGTCAGTCCTAACCCAGAGTGCCCATTGTGAGATGACCTTTGTGGGTAACAGCGCTGCCCGTGTAAAGCTGGAACTTCTCTAAGTTCATTTAGAAAGTGACTGCAGAGGCTCCACACCACACTTAGAAATGCTGTGCCAGACGATGCAGAGATGAGGTCACCGGGCTGCGATGTCTCTTCTGTCACCTCTGGCAGGCCCTGCAGGAGTCACTCTGCCACCCCGGGTACCCAGCACTCCTGCTAACTGGAGATAACAGGGGTTCCTTGGCCTCTCCCAGACACACACTAATGATTAGTGATGAGGCAAATTTCAGTCAGTTCTCACAAACTCTGCAGCTGAGACAGGCTAAGTTTATGTGTGACCAGAAAGCAGAAAAGAATTGACAAAAATGCTGTATTCCAGACAATAAACATCATTTCAAAAAATTAACAAGCATCACCAGGTGGTGGTGGTGCACGCCTTTAATCCCAGCACTCGGGAGGCAGAGGCAGGTGGATCTCTGTGAGTTCAAGGCCGGGCTGGCCCAACAGCCTCCAAAACAATACAGAGAAACCCTGTCTCGTAAACCCCCCCCCCCAAAAAATTAACAAGCATCATTTATTTTATTTGTTTGCAGACTTTGAAAACCTTACTCAAAAGTCTATGTGTATAAAGTTCCTTGATGTACCTACTGAGGATTCATGGGTTTAAAAAAGAAGGCAAAACTTGGGCTGCTGGGAAACTAACTCAGAAGGTAAAGTGCTTGTCCAATGCAGCAACAAATCCTTCAACTCCTGGAATCCAGGGTGGAAGGGGAGCTCCCACTCATGACAGCTGTCCTCTGACCTCCACATGTGCTAATGAGAGAGAAAGAGCACAAGCACACACACACACACACACACACACACACACACACACATGCACACACACACACATACACACACACACACACACACACTAGAAAACAAGCAGAACTGTGTCACTTTGAGTTATTTTTCTAATTTGTGTCTAGGCAGGCCTTGAACCCTTGAACCTTCCTGCCTCAGAATTCCTGGTAGCTGGAATTATAGGCCTGAGTCACCAGGCTAAGCCCTTTCGCTAATTCTTGACTCTGATAACAAGAATGATATTAAATAAGGTTGCCCTTACATCAAATGTAATAGCTTCCCAGTGAGTATTTATTATTATTATTATTATTATTATTAAATAAAAGCACATAAAATGTACTTCATATGAGTTCTATTTAAAGCAATGTGGCAGTGGTGCATGCCTTTAATCCCCAGCACTGGGGAGGCAGAGGCAGGAGGATCTCTTGAGTTTGAGGTCAATCTGGTCTACAGAGCAAGTTCCAGGATAGTCAGAGCTGATAGGAAAAAAAAAAGAAACAGGTATATTTTGCTTTTTTTTTATTTTTTTAAGATTGTCTCCTACATCCCACATTGGCTTTGAATTTACTATGCAGCTGCTTCTATCATTTAAGCACAGGCATATACTACCAAACCTGGCTTCAAAAATTCCTGCTGAGCATAGCAAACATGCATTAATCCCAGAATTCGGAGGCAGGTGGATCTCTGTGAGTTTGAGGCCAGCCTGGTCTACATAGTAATTCCAGGACAGCCAGGGCTCTATAGGGAGGGAGATCTTGTCTCAAGGAACTGAAAACAAAGAAACAAAAAACTAAGTTCTTAGCCCAGAAGCTGTGGACTCTGGATTCAGGGGTACAGCAATTGTAAAAAGCCCTTGGAAGTTTAAAAAAAATATGAAATTTACATATATGTGCATATATGTATGCTCCTCTCCCCACCATGGATATATCCACATATATGCTTCCCCTCTCCCCCAGTTTATGTTTTAAGCAAAATTCTATACCAATTCCATTAGCAAACAGAGGCTGAAAGACATGGGCTTTGTGTTGACTGAGATAAGCAGCACTCGCCACGAGGGAGAAGATTTGTCTGAGCCCCTGCGACTTAATTAGTGAATAAAGCACTTGCCTGTCACAGACAACACTCTGGAGTTCAGCCTGTAGTTCTAACTAAAATGAATTTGTTGGTTTCAGCTCAGTGCTTCAGGGAAGGGGAGACTCCCCTAATTCATTATTTGCAGTGATTGGCGCCTCTGAGCTACATAAACTAAATTTAGATTACTCAACTTGGTCTCCGTAATCAGAAAAAGACTGGGGGAAGGGATTCCGTGCAAGAGAAACAGTGACTTCACGTGACAAATGGTGAGCTTAGAATCATCACTCAGGGAAATCTGAGTCATTGTTCCCACAATTAAGACCTAAGCCACCCAATCCAGATGCAAACACAGCATGCTTTGAAGACAGCTTCTTTAACCACAAGAAGTCTGGAGCCCACTGGTGCTCACACTCACTGAGTGTGTCCACGGTGAGAAAAGTGCTGCCCCGGGGATGAGGGGATACAAGTGTGAAAAAGTTCTAAAGGAACTTGTACTTGCAAATAGCTTATTTATGAGACAAGTATGAAGGCAGGGCCACTATCAGACCCCTAGTGTATGGCACTGGACAATAATCGGTACCCACATGGAACATTCTAGAAGGCCACTTAAGAACTGTCTACAAAAGAGATGAAGATACACAGGATAAAGACAGGTATGGCTAGGGGCCAGAGAGGAAAGCAGAGAAGGCAGAGGAATGCCGAGAGGCTGGAACTGCTACTTTCTGTAGCACAGTCGGACATGAATTCTGCGAAGGTGAAACCAGAGAAAGAACTCTGCCAACTGAAACATGAGCAAGGGTTCTGGAGCTTGCATGAGGGCTCTTTTGTATTAGTTTTCTTCGTCACCGTGACAAAGTCTCAAAATTTTGCTAGTTTTCAAACTCTTGAGTTTTAGAAACCTTTCGTTAACATGTGTCAACAGGGCCGCATGGCCCTGATCCATCTTGGTCTCTCCCTAGCTTCTGGTAGTGACTGGGAAGGGTTTGAATACCTGTTGTACTGGAATCAACTACCCCATAGTCCAAATGAACACAAACATGCAGGGTCTAGGAGTTAGAACATCGAATTCTTTTAGGAGACACAAGGGGCCTTGGAGGAGGTCACATGGCCTAGCAGGGTGAGGCTGGAGGTGGGCTAGAGAGCCAGCTTTCCTGATTTCTCTACAGAAGAGCCAGGCGTCTGAGCCCCTTCGCATAGGGCCGTGGCCCTAGCGCCACCATCCTGCTTTTATGGGGATATGCTAGATGCTATGCTCACCCATGAACATGCAGAGCAGAGCACTTAGGATGTGTGCACTGTTCTGTATGGGTGCTCTGCTTGAGGTCCCTCCACACTATTGCTGGGCTCGGTTCTCACCCAGCCCTGACTCTAGCTCAACAGCTCTGCCTTTGATTCTACCTCCACTCCACCCTGCAACTCTGATTCCCAGAGCTGTTCTTTTCACATTCAGCTAAGGGAGGAAGCACTAAATGTATGCGATGAATGTTTTTACAGTGGGGAACAAAAGGGTGAGCAGAAGTTTAACTGACTTCAGGCTCAGAGGGCAAAGGAATGCTCACCCAAGTGGCATTAGAATTTACAAGCAGAACTGTCAGCATGGTAGCACTTGCACAGCTGAGGTAGGATTGCCTTTAAGTTATGAGGTCGTGTCTCACAACACAAACCACAGAAATGATTTTACAAGAGAACACTGGAACACGCTGGAGATGCTGCGGACAGGCAGGACACACACGGAAAAGAAAAGCTCTGTCCTGTCCTCCATGAGTCTCTCCTAAAAAATGCCTGCCTCCATGAGTACACAGCCCTTGGCAATCATTTAAAGATTGTCCAAAACTAACAGTATGGGTCCATTTACTCAAAACTCCATTCCACCCCTATTCTAATACCTGGACGCCAAAGCAAATATGACAAACATGTTATGGAGATTTACCAGATATTAGGACCTGTGACTACACAAAATCCAACAGACCAACTATTTGGCTTTGCAACATACTGTTCTTAATGCTGGAGAGACGCAGCATCCTTCAGTCACCAGTCACCTAAACACCCTTGCCTAAAGACAAAGGGAGCTTGAAGCATACTGCCTAGAGGTGGTCTTTAGGACTCAAGCCCAGTGAGTCACTTTCCTTCCCAACAACCTGTCCTTGAATCACTGGGCTCTTCCTGAGCAAGTCAACAGACATGGGATTTTAACCATGGCTGTAAAGAAAGTTAGCCTACTTCTTGCCTCATACCCACATTAGCCACAAAAAACAAAACACTGATTTTAAAGAGGGGTTTCCGTTGAGGTCTAGACCCTGCCAATCATTAACTCCATTCACTAAAAAAAAAAAAAAAATAAACACTCTGAAAAGTGATCTACCCTATTGTACAGATGAGGAAAACACATTTGCAGAGGACCACTGAGTGCCTGAGGCCACACTGCCAGGGGCTAGGCTGGCATTTGAACCTAGGTGCACCTTGTTCCAATGGTGGGGGTTGTTCCATTCTTTCAAAATACAACTTCAAAGAGAAAATGCTAACAAGGGTAGGGACCAGAGAGCACTGGGGTTCACAAGTTCATGGCCAGTGTTGTGAGTTTATTAGAGCTGCTGACCACAGCTGAGAACCTATGAATGCAGACTCATAGCTAAACTGGAATACACCATGGAAACTCCATTCAACAACCACAGTCCAAAATAAGCCTCTCAGATCCCAAGACCCACTTAAACATCCCCTACAATCTTTAAGTTTCCTAGGTTCATTTACATTCGTCTTCATTCCTTGCCAACCTGTCTTTCGCATCAGCTAAGGATTGCATATTCCTCCCGATACTTCATTCTGGTTTGTATGCTCAAATACAATTGTGACCTCTCCGTGAGGAAGGGGCTTAGACACAGATTTAGCTTCACTTTGGCCCAAACCGCACCCAAATCTCCACAGAGGTCTTAGAATGGTGGGGGTAGGGGAGTGCTTTTTATTTTCAAGCACAAGTCAAAAATAAGAAGGAAAGAATACCACAGCAACAGAATTTTAGAAGCCAGAGGGTAGATGAATCAATATTTCATGGTTCAGCCAGCCGGAGAAAAACTGAATTGTAAGCTGGCCATTCTAAAATAAGAACCATTTAGATTTACACAACAGAATCCCTAGTGGCGGGGACTGGCGGCAGCAGGTGCCGTTGGAAGTGGAGATGAGAAAAACACGCTATAATGAGACGGATTGGAAATCTGTGAAAGCAACTGTCAGATGCCCAGGTCCCCACTCTGCAGTGGCGCCCAGCTTCCCTAGCTCATGGTCAACTGAAGACCGCACTCCTGGACAAGTTGGAAAAGTTCTAGTAAAAGTGGGTAGACATCCCAGGGGCGTTTGACAGGAAGATGCTAACAGAAAGATTATACAGGATGTCTGAATGTCTTTTGGGATTGAATCAACTGAAAAAAACCTGATACTAATTGTAAGGAAAACAGGAAGGCACAGAAGGAAAGTAATCCCATGTTTGCTACATACCAGCAGGGATGAGAAAGGAGGTGCAAAGATGGAGACATGAGGGGTGCAGATGGGAAAGTAAGTTCCTGTCTCCCAGAGAACAGATAGCATCTCAAATGAAGTATCGATGAGAAAAAGCAGGTGGTCCAGCAACATGGAGGTGCATTTTAAATTAAACTAAACTTTAATTCATTATATAAGTGTTCTGTCTGCATGTATGTTTGCAGGCCCAAAGAGGGCACTGGGTCTCATTACAAATGGCTGTGAGTCACTATGTGGTGCTGGGAATTGAACTGGGGTCCTCTGGAAGAGCAGCCAGTCATCCCTCCAGGCCCCGATTAAGCTAAACTTTGACATCTTCCATGTCTCGAAGCTGGTATGCTCCACCAGATATAAAAGCTGAACTTTCACTCTAGAACTCAGTGGCCACACTCATGACTTCATTTAATTCTGGTCAGGCTGCAAGAAATACTAAACTTTTAGCATAAGAGTCACTTCATTGAACCATTTCCAGATGCTATGAATTAAAGTACCTGAACATCATGGCACCTTTGTTCCTAAAAGGCTTGAAAGACACACACAATGCTAAGACAGTTTAAACAACCCAGGCCTTCTCTAGTATTCCATTTCAACTAGAGATCACCAAGGACCTAAGTACTTACAGTAAGAAGAGAGCCTTAAGGTTCATTTTAGTAACTGTTGGCATCACCAGTTTTACTTCGGAATAAAAAAAAAACAATAAAACAAAAACAAAACACTCCATAAATCCATATTCAGCTAGTCTTGTTTAAAATCCAGGCATTACTATCTATAAAATCATCAGATAATTACAATGGGCATCCAGGGTTACTCACAACAGAGTTGAGCTATTTTCTGTATTTAAGACATTTTTAGGAATTGTTAACACACAGCAAGGTGGGGAGGAGCTAAGTCCAGGTGCTTCTTGGCATACAATGAGTTTACTCTCAGCATAAGCTGAAAACACCATAGGTAGAAAATATACTTTTTATATCTTATATAATATAGTGTGGCCTAAGCTACCTAAACATACTCAGAGCACTGAGCTAACAGGCAAAAATCCTCTAACACATGGCATACTTTATTAAGTATTTAACATAAAATGCTTTCTAGGCTAATCTTTCATAACAATGCATAAAGTCAAACATTGAACAATCCTAACTTGGGCATTATTTGTAATTTGAATTCCTACAGCATTAGCTTCTCATCTCTCTGAGCAGGTCTACCTCAGAAGTGGAAGCCTTCTGATGTGAACATCCACAGGCTTCTGAGAGGAAAGTGCCATGAGCTTGGAGCCTAGTGAGGAAAGCAGGAACAAGAACCAGAGGTGTCTACAAGCTGGTCCTTGAAAGGGATGAGGGATGGCATTTGTGATCCTCACAGCAGAGGATGGGGGTTGTTACCATTCATACTCAGTTCCTTGGTCCCAACTCACTATACTCTTGACACTCTTACCTCACCTAATCCAGGCTCTGTTTCAGTATTTTAACTATCAACTATTTATACAATCAAAATTTAAGTTAACTGAGGCTAACTTATTCCCCTAAATTTTGGTCAAGCCACCTGCTAACCTGAAGCTAAGTACAGCTTCTTGACAATTCCAGGTACATCACAAATGTCCCATTTCTAACTGTCATTTTACTTATCTGCAAAACAGTAGGAAAGTCGAAGTGCAAAAACAATTCTAACTAGGACCCAAGCATCTAATTTTAAAAACTAATTTTTTACTATCATGTAACTCTACTAATACTAAATTCAGTATCCAATAACAATGACAAATAGATTTTAAAAATGCATGATATGAAATGTGAGACAGAGATGTTCAGCTTTGAGACAATAAGCCAGAGAAACGGTTTGACAAGTGTTCATTTATTGAATAGCAGGAACACATGGCATGCATTTGGGGAAGAACTGAACCACCTGTGCCTGTGGACATTCAGTAAACCTGCTAGGACCCTGCGAGGCAGCTGGGACCCAATGATGTGGCAGGGATGGCTTAGTTGCCTATGGTGGCTAATATTCCAGGTGCAGATTCTTTTGGAACTATTTACTTTTTGTTACTTGGAATTACATCAGAAGAGGGAGGCCTGGCCTGAGCCCTGCTCTTAAACTGAAGGCTGAGGACTTCGTTGGAATCATTTAAATAACCATCATCCGAATCATGTTCACTGCAAATTTTAATCTAATTCCCCTTCATAAATTTTTCTGTCAATTCATACCCCCAGAACCAGAAGCACTGTGTGAATTTGGAAAAAAAAGATTACTAGCAAATGTAAAGGACTATGTATTTGATTCCAGTATCTATAACTGCTGCACTTAATACTAGATTTTTATGTCATATGGCCAATTTCTCTTTTGGACATTTGCTATAACATGTATGTAATAAATTAAGTAATTCCAGTGACATTTAAAAGGACAAAATATAAAGTTGATGGAAAATCAGAACGTAAGTAAAAACTATATAATTATATATGGTTGGTTTATTTAATACAGTGATTGTAACCTACAGTATGATGTCTCCCCAACTAAGGAGTGACATGCCATGTATTTTCTCAAAATTTTGTAATGAATATTTTTATTAAAGGGACATCAATGTCACTTGATGCTCAAGTCATACCTACTGCTTTTTATGGTAATGGGAAGAAACAACATATAGACAGAAAAAAGCTACTACACCCAACGGGGCATCAAGGGATAGTTTCAGATTTTTGTTCTTTTGCAGAGGCAGTCTTATCTCATGAACATTTCCCCTTCCTTCATGCTTCAGGGCACTTGGTTATGGCCTGCAGCGCTGGACGAATCGAGGGTACAAGCACACATCTCGGATGTGATACCTGTTCAGAATCCAACTTAGGAATCTTTCCAAGCCCAAGCCATAGCCTCCATGAGGACATGTGCCATATTTTCTCTGTTAAATAAATGAGAACAAAGAGAAAGAATGTATGCTTACTTTAAAACTATAATTAATCATGTTAAAATTTCCACAATGTTAATGGTTAACTCATTGTAGTAATAATTCAACCCAAATCCACAAACCACGCAGAGGATAGTTCAGTATAAAAAATACTTTGGGGATGGAGAGCTAACCTGAAAGGAAGAGATGATTTCAACCTTTCAAACTAAGTACCTTGATTTATCAGGAGACTGAAGAACAGTATTAGATGTTGGTAGGATCAAATAATATAGTTAAAAACTGGAGCAGTGGCTAGCAAGCTAAGAGCATTGGCTGTTTTTCCTGAGGGTCCGGGGTTCAAATTCCAGCACCCGCATGCTAGCTCACTATCTGTAACAGATGCTCCAGGAGATCTCGAGCCCTCTTCTGGTCTCTGGGGTCAACACATGTGAAACATACAAGCAGGCAAAACACCCACACACATCAAAAGAACAACAACAAAAACAGCCCGCAGCAGACAAGGAGCTTTACAAATGAAATTGACCTGTAACTTGCCTAAAGAAAAAAATGGCAATGTCCAAATGCTGCATGAAGCAAGCACGGCTCATCTGAATGCTCATGGATGACTGGGATTCGGGCATCCAATGCAATACAATACAATACGATACACTTCAATGTATGCAAAAAGTATTACAGTGAAAAAAAACTTAACGAAGCTAAAACTGCTTTTACCTGATCTGTATACCAATAATAAGGAGCGGGGTCAATTCCTTCCCTTTTATAGCCTTCTAGAATTTCTTCACTATCCCAAGAGCGCATGGAGCCACCCACAATCTCACCGACACTGGGCATCAACACGTCAACCTTTAAATAAGTAAACAAACAAACAAAAACCATCATAATTACTGTCAGTCTATCAGACACAATTGTAAGGCTTTAAGAAAAATTACAACTAGGCTCCTAACTTGAAAGGAAGCCCCGTACCTATGCAAGTATTAATCAAATTCTTTATCAGAACATGTCAGCCCTGATCAGGGAAGAAAGTTTTTTTTTACTTTTATTAGTCATTCTAGATTTATGAGATATTTGCTATGAACTATATCTTATCCCAAATGATAGTTCCCAGTCCCTTAGAAAAGCGACTTTTCTAATACTCATAGGATCACCAACTGACAGATTCAGTGAGTCGAGGATCCTCAGGACATTTCTGCATATAGAAGGACTTGATCTCCACAGGAAACCGACACAGCAGGATTGGCTCATTAATGGTGTCTGTCATCAGTCTTTCAGGAGCTTCGGGAATATCCTGAGGTTAAAGCAGATTTCATGACATGTAGAACTGCTGACAGAAAGCAGCTCCTTCACCATCAGTCACAGCTCTGGCTCTGTTCCTATACATAGACCTAAAACCCACAGACATGCACACAGGAACATTTTCTTCTAAAAAGGAGTAAAACTGACTTGTGGCTATCAAGTGAACTGTAGAAAGATCTACTTCTTTCAACACCACCCCCTACCAACACACAAATACACACAGTGTACCGAGTGCTGCTAGGGAATGACCACACCACCCAGACATCTCTAAACCGTGACGAGATACTGTTTGGTATCTTGGTCAGTGGCCAGATCCAAGCTCAAGCGAATGTGTCCCACTTAGTCTCCAGAGCGGAACACAATCAGTGTACACGCCAGCACATCGTCGATCAGCACGGTACTGAAGACACTCATCTTTAAACTGTGACCTGCACTTCTTTCCTGTTACAGAACCACTTATTCAATGGTAGAAACAGTCATAAAATAAGTAACTGACATTAAGTTTGCAAGTGTTATTTATCACACCTGCAACAATAGCCAAGAAGTATTAGATGACGATAAACCAGATAAATTAGTCTCTCTCCCAAAACTCCCTGTAGGAAACCATATTCAAATCAAAACTGGACAAGACTCAGTGATTTGTTTAAGAACTGAAACGGGGCTGGGCTGGACAGATAGCCTCCAAAACAATACAGAGAAACCCTATCTCGAAAAACCAAAAAAAAAAAAAAAAAAAAAAAAAAAAGAACTGAAACGGAACTGAGCAGTGACTGGCTCCGGTCCCTGAAGTCCAACGCCCTCAGGCATGAAAGACAAGAATGGGGGAACAATCTGTCTCTTAGCTTGGATCTGCCTCCCACACTGAGGAGTAAGTTCTGTGTAAGACGAATATACCCCTGGAAAAGTCTGGTCTGGGAGAAGAGTGATGGGGGAAGTCCTTCTGTGTACATGTTGTCTTACTGGTTTATTAAATAAAACACTGTTGGCCAACAGGGAAGCAAGATAACTGGGACTAGGAGTCAAGGATTCTGGGAAACAGAGGCACAGTCAGTCACAACGTAGAATGAGGGAGAAGAGGTCCGGACCCCTTTCTCTGATAAGAGAAGACCACATGGAAATACTCAGACTAACAGTATGGGTTAATAATTAAGTCAGAGCTAGCCGATAAGAAACAAGCAAACAGCCAACAGCTTCATAATTAATACAGCCTCCTGCGTATTCATTTGGGACTGACTTGGCTCTGGGACCAGGCTGGCGGAAGAGTACGTGTTACAGAAGAGGGTCTCACTTCAAGGTCGACACGAGGAGCCAGCTGGGTCACTAGTCTTCAGTCACATAACATGCTGAGAGAAGCCCACCTGAGGGACTGGGACATTTGGGCTCTACAGCTGGTGACTGTTCCACTCAATCACACTAGCTACTAGGGATAATAAAGAATTTAAAACTTCAGTTCAAAATTATGCTAAATGTTATACACTGAACTTACAAGACAGTAAGGGCAATGTGAGGAGACCTGGCATGTCGTTTGTTCTCAACATAAATTCCTTCTTACCCCAAAGCAGAACTGCTGAGTTGCAGCTACTCACATTTCACCTGCACACACACACACACACACACACACACACACTCACACACACACACTCACGCCCAATGGTGTGCTAGGAATGGTCAAAAACATAAGTCTGAGTCAGTTATTACTGACACCCACAACGCATGCTCGGCTCCTAGTCTGGGAGTTTGCTGAGGAACAGCCATGAAAGCAGTAAGAGAAAAAGGACGTTAATGTTTTGAAACTGTACAAACACTGTTCTTAAATTCACTCTATCACAAGTCCAGATAATCTTAAGAAGTCGTTTCTGCTAGTACTACTGACTTGAGGACAAGTCAGGGCATCCAGCATGAAGGAGCCCCTATCAGCAACCCACTTCAGCACACAACCCCCGCTGAAGCAGAGAGAAAGGGATACATACGTCTCCAAATTCATAAAGCGTCCCGTCTTCTTTCTTTACATCATGCTCCCTCAGCCACTCGATAGCATCTGAATAGTTCATCCGCCTGAAGGGCCGTTTAGGGGGTTTAAAGTTCTAGAGTAAGAAGAAGAAAAAGAGCTGTGTATGAAAGGAAGGCACACAGATTAAAATGTCTACTAAGAAACAAAAAGGGGGTTGGAGAGATGGATCAGTAGTTAAGATATGAGCTGCTCTTCCAGAGGACCGGATTTGGTTCCCAGCACCCACATGGCAGTCCACAACCATCTGTACCTCTAGTTCCAGGAGATCCAACATCCTCTTCTGGCTTCTAGATGCACAGACATGCAAGCAAGCAAAACACCCATATCCATAAAACAGCATGAAAGTGCAAGTAGGGGGCCAGAGAGACACTGGGACGGCTCAGCAAGTGAAGCCTTTGTCAGGTAAGCCTGATAACCAGGGTGTGGCCCTGGAACCAAGGAGGAGGTGGAAGGAGAGCACCAACTTCACAAAACTGTTCTCTGCCCTCCACATGCTGTCCTGGTATGAGTAGGCCCCCACACACCACAAACACATACAGCAATAACAAATTCTTTTTAAAAAGGCAGTCCTACAGACCAGTAATATAAAACAGTATTTCAGATGAAGAAGTAAACTACGGACCACCACTTCTAAAGGTTAAAATATAGTTACTGGCAATTACCAATATTAAATTTAAGTCTTCAAAACATTATCTACATACTTCAGTTCAACAAACCTACAAAAATTGAGAGTGATTCTGTCTTCCACGAAGACTGGAATCGTTTCATTTCCAGAAAACACTACACCTACCGGGTTGAGGTCATACACTATGCTTGCCACTGGTGACTTCAAGACTCTGTCCACCACATCACACACTAGGTCCTCTAAACGATTCAGGAGGTCCTCAAAGGTCAGGAAGGGACACTCGGCTTCCACATGAGTGAATCTGAAAAACAGACACACTTTTACACAAAGTTTCCCTCAAGCAAAGACCTGGACCTGGGCTGGGGAACCAATGCCTTGTTCTCACAACCCTCACTGAATGGTCAAGGAAAATTCAGAGAATGAACTTTGGTTGTGACCTAAGAAGCCAAATGCTTTTTCGTGTTTCTTTGGCAGGGTCTTATAGCGAAGGCTGGCCTTGAACTTCTGTGATGACTGGCACATGCTACCATGCCCGTTACTTTTATATGGTGCTGCTGACAGAAGCCAGAGCCCTATGCATGCTAAGCATGTACTCTACAGCTGAACTTTACCCCCACCCCAAGGGGCAGCTCAGGGAGGACATTCCGTACTCAGCCAGGTGCCTTCGTGTTCTGGACTGTTCAGCCCTGTATGACTGGGCAATACAGAAAACATCCCCCAGGGCCGGAAGGCAGGTCTCCAGGTATAGCTGCGAGGACTGGGTCAGAAACGCTTCTTCCCCAAAATAGTCAAGCTTGAAGAGTGTGGCCCCACCTTCCACCTGCGTCTGCACCAGTGTCGGAGTAGTAACCTGTTATGGCGAGAAGGAGCAAACAGGTCTGCTGTGGTCATCACTCATCCAAATGACACGGGGTGTCACTTGCAGAAGGTGACATGTAACAGGAACTTACTTCACAGTAGCCCCTGTCAAAGAAGTGATCCCTGAAGCACCTGGTGATCATGGAGCGTGCTTTCAAGATTTTGGACATGTTCTCCCCTCGGATCATCATGTGCCGGTTGTTGAGCTGCACGTCTACGTCAGATTCCTCGTTGATCAGGTTATCAGCACCCCCAGCTGGGGCCAACCCCACCAGCTCCCAGAAGTCACAGCTCAGCTCATGGCCTCCCGGAGCCTGTGGGTTAGAGAGCAGAAGAGAAAAGCAGAGGAAATGAGACAGACACTAAATTGACAGTACGAAGATTCTGACCCAAATTTTTAGTAAGGTGTTGTTTCAAGAACATCCTTAGTTTCAGCTTCCGAAATTAGAGACCCAGTGTAATTTTATATTTTACTACTTGTTTCCATGTAAACACACGCACGAAGAAACACACACACTCTTTTTTGTAAGTAAGAAGGCACATACAAAGAATTAAATCAACTCAAATTCCATGACCTGGAGTAATTAATTACTTACAACTATTAGCATCATGGTTTATTTTTCCAGCATTTACCTAAAGATTTAGTTAACATACTTATTCACATTTCAAAACTTAAATGTGAAGCTTAAGAGCTAGTTCAACGGTTAAGAGTTCATCCTACCTTTCTGGAGGCCATAAGTTGAGTTCCCAACACCTAAAGCATGGCTCACAACCACCTTTAATTCCAGCTCCAGAAGGTCTATACCTCTGGTTTCTGAGGGCATCTGCATTCATGTGCGCAAGGCAAACACCAACACACACATATATATAATTGAAGTAATTATATATAATTACTCACAGAGATCCGCCTGCTTCTGCCTCCCGAGTGCTGGGACTAAAGGCTGCGGTGGTGGTGCAGCCTTTTAGTCCCAGCACTCGGGAGGCAGAAGCAGGCGGATCTCTGTGAGTTCAAGGTCAGCCTGGTCTACAAGAGCTAGTTCCAGGACAGCCTCCAAAACAATACAGAGAAACCCTATCTCGAAAAACCAAAAATAAATAAATAAAGTCTTAAATTTAAATGGAAAAGTTTTACTAAAAGCAGTTTCTGTATTTATTTGGAGAAAGATAATCAAAATTTTCCCCACTGACTCTATACAAAGTAATTCTTTTTAAAAGCCTCCCATTCATGAAACATGTCATTATCTTGTTGTCAAACACTGGACAGCAAGTAGCACCATGACAACCACTCCACTTCCAGGAGCCTGGCAATCTTCACTCACTCATTTTTATTACAGGGCAGGCTTTCCATGGACTCTGAGTGTTTGCTCCCTCTTGTGGTTAATATGCTACATTTATAGGTTTCTCTTCCTAGGCAACAGTTACAACCACAGAAGTTACTTGAATCGAAAGCTCTAATTTTAACCCACACACCTATGAACACTTGATTTTTGACAAAAAAGCTAAAACTGTACAATGGAAAAAAGAAAGCATCTTCAACAAATGGTGCTGGCATAACTGGGTACTGGTATGCAGAAGACTGCAGATAGATCCCTGTTTATCGCCTTGTACAAAACTTAAGTCCAAATGGATCAAAGATCTCAACATAAATCCAGCCACACTGAAACTTTTAGAAGAGAAAGTGGGAGATACTCTTCAACGAGTTGGTACAGGAGACCACTTCCTAAACATAACACCAGTGGCACAGGCACTGAGATCGACAATTAACAAATGGGACCTTCTGAAACTAAAAAGCTTCTGTAAGGCAAAGGACACAGTCAAAAAGACAAAAAGGCAGGCCACAGAATGGGAAAAGATATTCACTATCACTACATCTGACAGAGGGCTAATCTCCAAAATTTACAAAGAACTCAAGAAACAAGTCTCCAAAACACCAAAGGATCCAATTAAAAGGTGGGGTACAGAGCTAAATAGAGAATTCTCAGTAGGGGAGGCTAAAATGGCCAAGAGACACTTAAGAAAGTGCTCAAATTCCTTAGCCATCAGGGAAATGCAAATCAAAACAACTCTGAGATACCATCTTACTCCTGTCAGAATGGCTAAAATCAAAAACACCAAAGACAATTTATGCTGGAGAGGATGTGGAGAGAGAGGAACACTCCTCCACTGCTGGTGGGAGTGTCGACTCATACAGCCTCTTTGGAAATCAGTATGGAGATTCCTCAGGAAAATGGGAATTAATATACCACTAGACCCAGCAATTCCACTCTTAGGCATATATCCAAATGAGGCAAGTTCATACAACAAGGGCATCTGCTCCACTATGTTCATAGCAGCATTATTTGTAATAGCCAGAACCTAGAAGCAATCTAGACGCCCCTCAACTGAAGAGTGGATAGAGAAAATGTGGTACATTTACACAATGGAGTATTACTCAGCAGAAAAAAAACAATGAAATCTTGAAATTCGCAGGGAAATGGATAGCACTGGAAGAAACCATCCTGAGTGAGGTAACCCAGTCGCAAAAAGACAAACATGGTATGTACTCACTCATATATGTATTTTAGACATGGATCAGGATAGT